CTACCATCTGACCCGCCGGCCAGCAAGTAGATGTTGTCAACAAAACATTGCCTTTTCGCAGCCAACCCAGAACCAATGGCATTAGGCCTGGGCTGAGGAGCTGCCTGGAATTCTAACAACCATCCTCAAATTGGAGTAATCACTGGCATCGGGGACACTCATCCCGATCTCTCCGGCCATACTCCTAGTTCAGGCAATGCCCACGCCGAGCGCTGGGTGCGGGCATCGCCGTCGTTGGCCGGTGAGATGAGTTGACAGCACCAAGTATAAAAGCACACGCATGCGTACTACCTACTAGGTTGGTACTATGTACACCGGTCGCCTCAACCGCCAAGCTACTGATCGTAAGACCCCACCCTCCGCCAGCATCCTGGCCGCTCTTCGTCCGGCCCTTGGGATGTGGCACACATGCCCACCCATGTGCGCGGCTTGCAGTCAGGCCCTACCACCCTGCGCCCGCTTACACAGTGAGCCCTTTCCAGGGCAAGGGTGAAGAACGATCGAAGACAACCACAAGCTTCTCCCACAGCTCCATCGCACCCCCACGAAAGGAACAGGCAGGGCGTAGCAGCCATGCCAGACAATTGCACAGGGTGGGCTGCAAGTCACTCCGTGGCTCCTGCAGCCAGATGCCTCCCACCACCACATGCATCAAACGAACAAAGCGACGGAGAGTGGCATTTGCCACATGCGACCTGCGCTTGAATCTCCAATTATCAAGCTCTAAATCGGTGACTACATTGCTTTTTGTCGCGCAGGCTTTATTGAGCAGCCAGGGACCAAGAATTGTGCCGAGCAAGAATCGCCATTCCCCTCTGCTATCAGATGCCGCGGTCAAATGCGTCTCGGCCTCAGTATGCACTGTACCTGAGACTCTTCATGCTCTCTACACTATGCTCCATCAGGAAAACACCCCCGTCCTGGGCAAACTCTTTCGCCCACCCTGGCGTCTCCCCGAATCCATTCGGCTCTGTGACAACCAGACACCAGACAACTGGCAAGCGGCGATCATCAGGAAATTGAGACACTGTTGGGCCAGTTTCGGTTGGACCTGTCGTCATCCTCATTTCAGGATGACTCGGATACGAAAGGGCAGGTTTTGCAAAGGCCCGGAATAGCGCCTCTGCGGGAAGAAGAGCACGGCAACTCGACCACTATTGACGCGCCGGGCTCCACCATGGTTAGCCACATCCGCGTCAGTTGCGCGTCAATCCAAAAAAAAAACCCAAGGCCAAATACGAGTGTGGACTGCCCTGTGCCTTGCACGGTATGTCCACACCATCGCGATCCCTATGGCACTTTGCACGGACGACTTGCCTATTCGTGCTGAAAATTGCAGGATCTGAACGGCACCGAGAAGCACGGGTGTGGCGCTGCCCACATACTATTGAAGCTAAGGTGGGAAGAAAAAAAACCTGTCCCTTTCGAAATACCCGACATTTGAAATAAGCCGTGGCGGTGTATCGGCACTGATTAGCTGGCAAAACATTACTGCCTCATGTCTGCAACCGAACGCGCTCGCTACCTCAGGCTCCGAAAGCTTCGTCACCAAGGCATGAGTGGTGCTCTCAAGAGCTGACCCCCTGTTTCAGCACATCGCGAATCTGGGCAGATGTTGGCACGCTCGCGGTCCCCAAATAAAATAGACTATATTCTCCTATCCGGGCATCAGAGTCCCAGGGCCATCCACTTTCCAGCCCTACCAAAAGATGAACCCTTGGATGCTGCGGAGCAGGCTTCAGGGGAATGAAGGGTGAAGGCAGGGGGAAATGACAGGATATCCTCAGGGGTTCTCCAGAAGATCTCGTCGAGACAGGTCCACCAGGGCCATGACTTGTTGCCCGACAAGGGGAAATTTGCCCTGGGAGCGGGGTGGAGTCGGACGCACTGGAAGGGGGGCCAGCCCGGCAGCCCAGCTACCCAGGTGCCCCCGATGCTCAAACCATGTCCAACCTTATTGTTATAGGGATAGGCCTGTGCATGCGCCTGTTGCAATCGGCCACCCCCGGCTTCTCCGCGCGACCCTGCTTCCTCTCCCTGCCACCCCCTTCAACCCCCCCCCGGCAGGACATGCTATCTAGACGCAAACGCCCAGGGGGACTGTGGCCCCGGGACACCCTGGTACGCACGCGGGTTCCAACGACGACGACTGAACGACATGTCGTGCCATTCCATATATCGTCGTCGCCGTGGTTGATAGTCGAGCAATAGCAGAGTCGGGAACTGAGATCTTTTGAATAGGACGAGGAAGCTGTTGCTAGGGAGATAATCTGGATGTACCTGCCTACACCGGTTCCGTTTACACAGCATACGCTTTTCACTAACGGGCAGTCAAAGGATGGGAAATGCAATTTGCTGTGGAGGATGGGCAACACTGGCATGTGAGACGCCGGTGTACGTTCAATATGACGAGCTCGCAGTCTATAGGAGCATGGCCTGCTTGAGGAGCCAACGCGGAAAGATGTAGGCTGTGGCAGTCAGTTGCACGAACCTGTCATGTGGCGACAGCCTCGATGCCGTTCGTCTCTGCTCCGCGAGGAATGTCAAAAGAACCACACGATAGCAAATCTCTGCGATCAAGAGGTGCCATCGGTACGAGGGCGCACAAGACACACCCGGCGGCGGGACATTCGCACGTTTGATGACGCTGTGTCTTGGATGTCCTGAGAAAGAGAACAGGAAGCGAACGTCAGGTTGGCCCTCCTCTCCCATTTGTCAACGAACGAAAACAAGAACGACCAGCGGAACCACGCAGATTGTGGTGATTTCCCACAACGCGCATCAAATCACATCACGCATCATGACGCCCCGGGACGCTACATTCGAGCCCTCCCCTGGGCGACGTGAGCGCTCAGATTTGCCGCGGGAACATCGGACCGCCCTCGATATGATCCGTGGGGCCACACAACCCCCCCCCCCTTCTCAGCTGATCACGCCGGGATGCCATAGAGGACGCGAGAGTGCATACCTTCAGCGCGGCATCAGCCTGCATGCGCCTTCCCGCGGGCCCGTGGCCGTTGTTGCTCCAAGCGCCCACCCAACAGCGACAAACGGCGCCGGAGATGAGTGGGTGATATCATCGGCTCGTCTCACCTGGCATAGTATGGCACGATGCGATTTCCGAAATGGGATATGAGCCATGGTCAGCAGAGTAAGCTGAGGTGTTCTCTCCCCATCGTCTTCAGGCAGTCTGTCGTCCCCTCTACAGTAAACAGACACGTGCGCCTCCTGGACATGATATTCTTTTTTGTTCTGGGTCGCGCACCGCTCCTTGGCCCTTGATCAGTGACGGGGGCCATCATTTCCATCCTATTCCCGACACTCTGGATCAGGCGGCAGCAGGATCTGGACTACATGCACGCTGGCGGGTTCCGGTTCTACAGAAGCTGTCTCAGTGACGTCCGTCGGAGGCAGTGGAGGAAAACGGGGGAGTGGCGGTTGACCTGCATACGTCGTCTGAGACAACCCCCAAGAGAACTGTCTCCCGTTTCTGGAGGGTCGGTCAGTTCACCGCCCTCCTCCCCCTCCCACCCAAATTCTCCTATGTGGCAGCCAGGAATACAAGCCATCTTCAGATATGTTCCGGAAGGATCTCGGTATGGGTTTCCTTCCCATATGGGGCAGACCGCCCCTCGTTGTCTGCGCCGCAGGCCCACGCTGTCTCCGCTCGCTTCCTGTTGGCTGGCACGTTTATGGAATCAGAAACCACGTCGTGATTGCTCACGAACACGACAGGCGTGTCAGGGTGTTTCAATCTTGCTTGACATCAGTCAACCGAGCGCCCGGGAACAAAGGGGGGGGGGTGGCTGGCTGGCTAACCAGAGGGCAGTGACGGCATGCGACCGCCGTTCCTTGCAGGTGCTGCGAGGCGAGCAAGCTGCATACGAGGGAGTATGAGAATATTGAAACCTCCTGTCGTGGCCCCTAGCCAACACGTGATAATAAGCCACACTTCACAGTACTCGTGATTGCAGATGCCATGTGATGAGGAGAACTTCGTCTTTGGGGCCTGCAGTCGGGGCTTCAGGTGCACGGTACTTTCTGCTGGACTGTCTCTCTTGGATACAAGCCGGACCAGACATCCACCCATGCTGGCACATAACCACGGTGAGACACGCGTAATCAACAGCTGCCGGCCTTGTTCCATGAGGAAAAAAGAAAAAGAGAACACCCAGCCAGACGTGTCTCGCCCAAGACGGGAGTGGCTGGCGCCCGTCAAGGGTAAACCTTCCGTGCTGCTGTGGGAGCAAGCCGGTGAGGGACTGCGTGGCGCGTGATGAGTCTGAACAGCCGTGATGTGTCTGTTGTGGGATCAGAGCTGCCGGCTGTCGACGACGTGCCTGGGTTCAGTCCTCACATCCGTCGAATCTGTCACTGCTTTATGGATGGTCTGGTCTCTCTTGCTTCCCCTGAATACGGAAGATCACTCGCGGTCATGTACTGTCTGGGAGAAAGAAACGAACCAAGCCTTTCGTAGTCATGGAGCAGGAAACACTTCCGTGGCACTGATGTATTCGTACGTCTGTCCAATGTCTACACTTCCGGTTCTTCAAAACCGCCACTACCAGGCTCATTCTTTTAAACAGATGTTTGTAATTGTGTAGTCCGGTAAAAGGCCTGAACCTCAACTTCCTCAGAACAATCATGGGCCAGGACTGTCCGCAAGGCGGCCAGCCGTTTATTCGAGTCACACATGGTGAGACAGCTCTATTTTCCAGAAGGCGTCGAGCCACGGTCGTTACATGCCAGTAAATTTTCATTTTCCAATTGTGCAGCCTCGCCTGAGGCTCCTCGTTCCAGTACATGTGTATATACTTTGTTGTCTCGTGGTATCTAGTTGCCCATTCCATATTTTGCCTTATTCTTTTCCCTCGATGCTAGAAAGTAAGTCGCTCATAAAAGAACTGTAATTTGATAGAATATGACCAGAATGTCATGAATAGTCATGGGAGCCTCTCATTACTCATAAACAGGCTGGAGCTTCAAGGCGCTCAAAACGCTCATTCGGGCCTCACACTGACCGGCACCTTCTCCCGTTCCCGTTCCCGCTCCCGCTCCCGGTGACGGTGCGACCGGTGCGGCAGACCACCGCGATCGTTGTCGTCAGCGTAGTACTCGAGTCTGCGTGGCTCTTCGTCCTCTTCATTTCGGTGTCGTTTTGATCGAGCATCACGCTCGCGCTCTCGTTCTTTCTCACGTTCGCGTTGGGCCTTCTCCTCGCGTCGTTTCTTCTCATCCTCCTCTTCATCGCGTGGGTCTCGGCGGTGCGATCTATGCGGTCTCCGTCTATCATCGTCATCGTCGTCGTCGCGGTCATCATCTCTGTCCCGCTCTTGCTCCCTGTCGAATTCTTGTCGTTTCATCTCTGTGTGGGTTGTCAGCCTTTTCCATCTTCTGAAAAGCCCTCTCTACAACTGCAGAGTGGGAGAACGAAGCCGAGATGTAAAGATCAAAGGAGACGTGATGTTCGGAAGAACAAAGGAGACGACGAGCACAGGCACAAGGCACGGGCACGAGTCACTGGGAACGCAGGGCTGGGACGTGGGATGGTGGGCGATGGACGATGGACAGGCGGACTGGACGGACGGGATCGGCGAGGTCACGGTGTGGGCGGCACGGCGACGGACGAGGAAGCGGAACGATTCAAGACAGAAAATGGAAAGGAAGCAACCCACCTCTCAACTGCGCAGTGGCGGCCGTGTAGGCCTCAATCTCTTCCTTATTCAAGACACGGAGGACAATGACGAAGTCATCGCGAACCTCGAACCTTTCCTTGCCGATGGTCAGAGCGTCGGGGTTCACCAATTTGCGGCTGATCTTGGTCCAGCGCGCCCCGGGCGGCACATTGGTCTTCGACTTGTCATCCTTGTGAGGCGCTACCCCTTCACGGACAGGGTTTGGTTCTTCTGGAAACTGAACCTTGGGCTGCTTGAGGATTCCCTTGATGGGCTTCTTGTCGTCCTTGTCCCTCGGCGGTGATACGACTCTTACTTGTCTGTCATCGCCGCCGGCTGCTGTTTCGCGGCCTCTGGCATCGTCGCTGGAGTCTGCTCCCCTTTTGGACGGCGATGGCTGAGAATGCCGGTCAGGAGAGGGCTCCTCACTCGCGGCTTTCTCATTTTCTTTGTCGGACTCTTCCTTGGCCTTAAGTTGCTCCTTCAACGCCATCAGGCCGGCAGTATCGTTTGGCCTGAAGGCGGAGGACGGCCGCCGCCGCCGCCTGGGCTTGCTCTCGTCTGAAGAGCTTCCATCACGGGCACCGCTCATGGTTGGCTCCCCAGACAGTCTTGCCTCAGTCTCGCGCCTGTTACGCTCCTTGTCGTCGGCATCGTCGACTTCTCGTTCCCTCCTGGGCCTCTCTTCAGTCTCGTCACGCAGCACAGGTCGCTCGTCCGGCTCCTTCCTTGCGGGCTTCTGCCGTTCCTCAGCTTCATCCTTGCGGACCTCGTCGTCAGCGCGTCTCTTCGGCGATCTTTCCTTGTCCTCCTCGTCTTTGCCCTTGTGGGTCATGGCTCCAAGACCAAGCGCGCCAGCTGCTATGCTGAGGCCGGTCGCGACTTTTTCACGGATCTTGTCCTTATCCTTGTCCTTATCTTTGTCCTTGTCCTTGTCCCTCTCCCTCTCTCTCTCCCTGTCCCTATTTCGGTCGTCTTCGCCGCGGACGTAATCGTCCTTGCCAATCTTCCTGTCGACGGCACGATGATCATCCTCCTTGCGAGCTTGATCACGACCGTACTTGCGGGTCTCACGCCGAGTGAGGTCGTCATCTGACCGACGCTTGGGCTCACGCTCCCAGTCATCCACGCGAGCATCACGGCGCTGCTCCGTACGGCGTTCACGAGCTGGGGCAAATTCCTCGCGCTCTCTGTCCCTGATGCGGTCGTCTTTCTTGTCGCCATCGACCCGGACGCCGAATCCACGGTTGCCCACGCCATCATCACGTGGATAGTCTCTGTCGCGGTGATCTCGGGATGCGTAATTATCGTCGCGTGTCCGATACAAGTCGTCTGGCTGAGATACTCGTGTTGGGCCGTCTTGATACAGGGACACTGGCCGGTGACCAGTGCGTGAGGGGCGTCGTTCGATTCGATCGGCTCGCTCGACAGGGCTAGGTGGTATTTCCAGCTGGCTGGACCTACGGTCGGGCGCAGGGACGGGAATCACAGGAGGCGCAGGCATCCTGACGGAGGGCCGATCGTAGATGCCCGCCGTGGTGTCCTCAGCTATTCTCCTGTTGTAACTGTCTAGGGCCCGAGACGGCGGTGGGGCTCTGACCCGGCCTTCGTACGGACGGCTAGCATCCGTGCCCACGTTGACGGACGGACGGTAGTACGTGTTTCGATCGAAGCTATCTCGACGACGCCGTGTGTGCACCTTGTCATTGTCCAGGTCGTAACGTGCCAAGTCACTGGGGTTAGTATACTCGTAGCCAGTGTCGCCGAGGTCCACTGTCTTTGTACTGAGTCGGGGAGGGTCTGCGTAAATGGATGATGGCCTTTCGCGGCGATGCCCGTTGCGAGAGGGAGCGAGCCTATCATCGTTTGTTCGCTGCCTCAACCGCAGAAACTCCTCGTTGTCCAAGGTAGAGCTGATTGAGCCAGAAGCATGATAGGGTCGCGTGTGGCTCCTCGAGCGCATGGAGGAAGCGGGTTGGGTGTAATATTGGTCTTCGTCACTGGACCGGTAGGCGTCACGGCCTCTATCTGGTGCAGGGCTCGCAGGGTGATGGCTGACTGTGCTGTGCGAGACCGAAGGCTCTTTGCTCTGCCGCGTGGTGACAATGATGGGCGGTCTCTTGGTGGTGGCATCCATCGTCGAGCTCCGGGTGCGGCTGTTTTCCCTGATGCTGGAACTTCTGGTAACTGGGTCCTTCCTGACGGTGTATGTGGTGGTGGTGACAGGAATGTTGGGACCTCGCCAGTCGTTAGAACCATGACGGTGGTGGTGGTGGTGGGACTGCTGGGGAGTTGTGGACTCGTATCTGGAGGAGGGCATGACGTGTATGTCGCCGCCATAGAAGGAGCTGTAGCCACTACTCATCGTAGGCATGGACATCCGCGCGGGGTTGAAGGTTGGTGATCTCCTGCCGGAGTTGTAGCGATAGCGGTCGCCCATCTTTGGCCACGGAGTCGGAGGAAAGGCGCTCGAATCCGGATTCAATCTCTGTCTCTCGTTTCTGTGGGTATCACGAGGTCGCTGCCTCGTCGACGTGTATGGAAGTCAATCACAGGGATGTGTAGGTAGTCCTTCTCCCTACCGCGGGAGGATGGTTGGAAGGGCAGCCAGTATCAGGCTCGGGTATCCGTCTTGTGAGCGGCGTGAGACGGGATAGAGTGGGGAGGAATGGGGGGCGACTAGAAGATGGCTGAAGCAGCTGGGTGTCAGCTTCGCAGCAACACATTCCTGTCAGACGATTAGCTTCACATCCATACCGGAGCCTGGGCCGCTGCATACATCTGTGGAGTGCAGGTTTTACGGAGGAAAGCGCCGGAGGGGCCCTCAAGGCTCTAGAAGCCGAAGGTTGGTAGGCGAGTCTCAGAGGGACTGGGTTGCAAGTCCAAGCACAGCCGGGTCCGTGGAGGACGGGCACGAAGGGGAAAGCGTTGGAGCGGTCGGCCGTTGGGGGGACAGCCTTATGCGACGTTGTGGTCCGGCGGGGTCTGTGTGCGAGAGGGCGAGAGGGAGAGAGCCTGGTCGCCTAGCGGCCCCTAACGGAGGGAGGGGGTGAGCAGTGTGGCGTTGGCTTGTCCGGCTGGAGAATGGAGGCACCCGACCACTGGGGAGCTCGATCCTGGGTAATTAGCCAACGTTGGGGCTAGAGGAAGCAGTGAGGAGTAAGCGGTGTGCGGTTGGATTTTCGACGAGACCTTGTGACTCGTAGTGGCCGTTATCTGGTCGCGGGGTCCCAGGTGCCTGGGGACTTGGTCGGCGGAGCGAGAGGACGAAGGGGGGGGGGGGGTTTCCTCGGGACGGCAGGCCGCAGATAACAATCAAGCCTGGACGGCAGGCCGCAGGATTGCAGGATAGCAGAGTGCAGAGTGCAGGGCACAGAGCACGGCCGGCTCGTGGGTTCGGGTCTCTCAAAGACGAAGGCCAAGGCAACAACAATAAGGTGGTGAGGAATGTTGGAGGCGCCAGCAGTAGACCGTAGCAATTATCAGTATGTGTGCTGGAGGTAGCGACGGCGGCGGTGGTGGTATTGGGGGAGGGGGGAGGGGGAGGAGGAGGAGGAGGAGGAGGAGGACGGAGGAAAATATGATTTCCAAGGTTGGCTTATGGAAATGCAGGCTTAATTCTCTGGCCTCGCTTCTGTGTGCTGCAGTGCAGTGCATACAGCTCGCTCAGGGCGGGCATGGATGGGCATGGGCATGAGCAAGGTCAAGGTCAAGGTTGCTTGCTTTTCTCACCTCGCCCCATCGTCCGTCGTGTCTGAATTGGGCATCGCATAGAAGTGGGGAGAAGTAGGATACACTGCATTCGTAGAACTCCATGTGTGGGTGGGTGGGTGGCCCGCACGCATTGATCAGTCAGAGGGCAGGGCAGCGAGCAGAGGCGATTGCTAGCACCCACCTGGGGGCAGTATCCTACCTGCACTACTGTAGATGTAGTATGAACACCCAATGAGGCAGAGGCAAAGGAAGACACTCTTTTGCTTCCACCACTCATCTCACTCCATTCCACACCCGCCGCGCCTTCCTCCTCCCACCTTCCTTCCCACCTCCAACCTCTAACCTCCCACAGGCCGTGGCTTCGGTAGGTACCAGAATACCCCAACCCCTGCCCGTTTCGCAGGGCAGGGCCCACCCAGGGTCCGTTCAGCTGCAGCGGTCCAGTGCTGCGAGGCCCCGTAGTCCGACTGACATCACCGGCAGGAATGACGTTGATGCTCACTGCTCGCGTGTACTCACTTGCCTTGGAATCCGATCATGGACCCGGGTGTTTACCAATGGGATCAGCCCAAATCACCATCGAGGCGTTCGAAATGGGCACGCACCAACCCCACGGCGCCGAGCTGGCCGAGCGACCAGGGACCTCGATCCCGTCTCTTTTGCTCCGTTTCGAGCTCTCGTCTCCCGTTCCCACCTCTGCACGCTTTTTCGTAAGCGAGCGCCGATGTGCAATGTCACTGCGGTTCTCCCCACCGCTCAGTGCTCAGATGGGTGACAGAACGAACACGTCCCTCAGGATCTCCAGTGATCGACGGCCACTCCCCCACAAGTGATGCGCAGTGCCCACATAGAACAGAACACACGCGTATAGCACCTCTCCTGTCCCGCTGCTCTCCTGCTGACGCCAACGGACCCTGCCGCGTAGCACACGCCTTGCGACAACCGGGACAGGAGAGGCCAGGCCGGACTATCTGTTGCCTCGAGCTATGACACGACAGATACGGTCAGTCACTTCGAGTTGAGCTCCGAGCCGAGCTCCTGGCCAGCCTGCTGGTTTACGCCTCTGCGCCCTGAGCGCCATCATCTCGTGTTTCTCGGCAACATCATGCTATGCAGGGCACTGCGTATGCTGTGGTGGTTCTGTCGATTTCCGTGGGAATTCTCCGACAGTTCCCACTTGGGCTGTCCACAATACCTGCCACTCAGCCCACTTCTTCGACTGCCCAGGCGTCAGGCACTTCAGGCACCCAACCCATCGGGCATTGTGTAGTCAATTTACTTAATCTTCCGGATTGGGCTGGCATGCCCACGCCCAAGCTCACCACGCTAAGCCAGGCACAGGACCCTTTTCATGCTTCTTTAGCTCGCTAGATTTTTTCTCTCTCTCTCCTCCTTTTTCCAGGCCGGCCCAGGCCGGCCCAATCCAGCCCATGTTTTGGGCACTCCTCTCCAGATTCTCACGGGTTCTCTCCCGACCACGGCAGATGCTGGATTCATCGTTGATGGACCATTTACCAACCCAGGCTCTTGAAAGGGGGGGCAACTCAGCCGCTCCAGGCGCCCGTGTCACCACCCTGTGGCCCCTGGCATTTCTCCCCAAAACGCAGACCCAGGCCACTTGAATCCTTGGAAGTCACATTGCAGCTTACCCAGATAGCTAGTAAGCGGCCAAGCCAGGGGCCGAGCATCGCCGCCTCTGGCGCTGGCGCTGCCGCGACTTGTGGTACGGCAGTACTGGTCTCCTCAACCACCCTGCTGCGGTGCAGGCCGGTACTCACCAAGACTGACAGCAACACTGTCGCTGCCCGTGGAAGAAGACATAGATAGCTGCCAAGATCGACCTTGTTAGTTCCCAAGCGCCCAAGTGTCTCTCTCGCAGCAGGGTAAGGTGCTCCCAAGCCGAAACAGACACGCGCCTTGGGACGAGACCCTGTGGAGGGCAAGCGAAACACGCCAACAGATGAGATGCTGTCAACCTGTGCTTATTCTGCAGGCCTCGGCGCGATTCGACAAGCCAGGACAGTTGATTGCAGGCCCACCCAACGTCCCTGTGCATCGTCAGCTGCAGGCAGGGAATGGCCGCCTCCCGGGAGAGTTCTGCAGCCCTGTCCAGCTCCAACAACTTGGGCTCATCCTCGGCGGGCGGAACCTCTTCAAGGAAACATCCAGGGCCAGGCCCCCATGCGACTGACCAGGCGCCAAACCTTCCCCTACCATCCCCTGGTCTGCCTTGGGGGCTTCGATCTGCCTGGCCACATGGCACTCATCTACCGCAGGCAAGAGGGATCGTCCCGGGCCCAGAGCCAGCGACAAACCGTCATACGTATTGTTGTTGGTCAACGATGCCCTCCCTTCACTTTCTCGTACTACTGTGAGCTGCCAAGGTTCCTTTGTTCGAGTTAAATGACGGTTTCGGCATGGCAACGGATCAGCTTAGTGCCAGAGTGCACCAGTCGCCTGCACAACACTGTGGCTTGCTTGCTGGACCATCCCGTGAATCTGCACTTGCGCCCGATACGAGTCGTCAACGAAGGAGCCTCGCATGCGATGGTATTACAGATGACAAAGCGTACAGTAGCCTCCTAATGGCTTCACATGCGGCTCTAAATCTCCATGGCCATCCTATCGGCTCCCACCCAATGGAACGCGGAGGTCCCTCCAAACCGAGAGCCTCCCAAGACTCGAGCAGGAACCTTTGTACAGGCGTGTCGTCTTATTCAACATTTGAGGGACGTGATAGGCCCTGTAGTAGCACATGTGTTCTTGCATTTGGGGGCGAAGCAAAGAGCGGTCTGCAGAACATTTCAATGCTCACCCTTCCAGCAACTCCTCGCCACCACTGCGAACTTGCGACCCCAAACCCATGCACGGCAGCGGCCGCCACCAGCTGAGAGGTAGACGCCAATAAACAACATTGCACTTGTGAAGTTCGAAGTACTCGCTCGCCCACACATCGGGGTTGCGACAAAGAAATGTTGTTTTCCGTTGTCACCCCCCAGCGGCGACGAAGAGCGCCGCCGTGCGGCAAAACCCATCAGTTCCCGTCGAGGACTCCCAAGAGATCACGATCTATGCATGACGAGTCATTGCGATGTAATGTCCGGGTGTTGGGCTGCAGGCATAAGCCCGACCTATCGTTTGCATTCCAAGACTCTTCTAGGCTCAGTATCACCGCCAGACCGAGCATAACTGCGTCGACGCTTCCCGCGCTTCGCCTTGTCTGCGTTTCCCCAACGCCACAAGGCCAAAGTTCTTTCAGAAATGACAGTATTAGTACTAAACCCTGGCACATACTTCTGCTGTGCGTCCTCTGCAGACGCAGACGCGATGACACCCTCCCCAATATCGCGACACAGCCCCTCGGGCTTGCGGAAATTCAAAGATTGCGGGTCTACAAGGCACGAACGCCCTGGTCAGCCTCTGGAAATGATCAGTCCGTCATGTAACACAAGCCTTTGCATTTCTGGAAACTGGTCCTTCTGTGGCCCGAGGACACTAAGTCTACTGCCCAAGCAACGTTGCTGCGCGTCCCTGTTGCCAAACCCCTAAGCCAGAGCTCCCATGGGGTCCCACAGAGGTAGCACGATGGGCTCCTTGTTAAGAACATTGCGCACGTCCTTGCTGAGAAATTTCGGGTCTACCACTGCTTGATAGACGAACTCATCCATCCTGTGCACCATGAGGTCAGCCACCATGCTTGAGATTATCTCAACGGGAAAAACACCCCGGGTAGGGGGGTGGGGGAGGTTGAACTTACCATCGGTCACTCATCACAAACCGTCCCTCCTCGCCACTCGCCGTTCCCCAGCTACTCTGCACCCTCCAACGCACGTTTTGCCCGTTCGTTCGTCAACGTGTACAGCCGTCAGGACCATCGCAGGCTTAGGGGAGGGTTACGTGGATCGTGTACCAGGCTGATCGAGCCCGGCGATGACGGACGACGTGACGCGGTATTCGGAGGACCAGATATCGGCGGCAAAGTCGATCGGGGTGGTCGTGACCTCCTTGGCCTTGCCACTCTTGTCGACATACTGCCACGTGAACTCCTCAGTGGCTGCCGGGGGCGGGCTGAGGGTCAGGGTCAAGATCGTGTGGATCTCCTTGACCATCTTTGCCTTCGCGGCCGCAACGCTGGAGGACGTAGCGGAGGGGGACTTGAGCAGGTTGCGCAAGATGAGTGCGTCCTCGCGGAGCTTGGTAAAGATAATAGAGTTGATGATACTGGACGACATAGCGTTGAAGGAATCGGCTGCTATGTTGTTAACCACCTGCTACGGGTCCTAAAGTGATACATTTTGGAACTTCCAAAAGCACAGCGGTCGGGGAACCATAGGATGAGAAGGGTTATACTAACGGTACAGCACCTGGGGCACGAGGCCATACTTCGCGACGAGATTATAGACCGTGTCCCACTGGCCGCCGTCGGACAGCGGGGCGTGGACCAGTGTCTGCACGAGCCGCGAGTCGAGCTCCTCACCCGCAGTGTCGATAATCTGCTCTAAGAAGTAGTTCGCCTTCTCAAGCTTGTCCTAGAAGAAGAGCCACGACTGCGAGAGCACGAACGACTCCAGGTTGTACCTTTGCATCAGAGCCACGCGGAAGACGTTGGTCGCGGCGAAGAGCCAGCACCTGCCTGAGGACCGCTGATTTGTGATAGGGGCGCCCTCGAAGGGGATCCTGATGTTGTAGACTTGCTGGTAGGAAATCTTGGCCGCACGGGATGTCAGGACATCGCGCGGGTTGGCTGCGGAGAGGGCTGAGAGGGCGAGCCTGTGGTACGCGTTTAATGTGAGTTGGTTCATCCTTCTGAGCATGAGTTGGAAGCTTGTGAGTCTGGTACCTGTTCTTAGGGTCCTCCAGCAATTTGGTCTGCCAGTTCTCGAGCTGCGAGACGTCGAGAGTGGTGGGAGGCCGCCTCAGGGCACTGAGGGTCTTCTCGTTGAGTGAGCCGGACGACTCGAAGTCGTCGACCTCGACGTACCCATCGTCGTTGGCGGCCTGCTTCTTCTCGATGTCAAGCGTTCGGAGACGGTCAATAATGGCCCTCTCGGCCGCCGTTGGCTTGGACTGATAAGCGCCCATTGTCGCGTGTCAGGAGAGAGGCTAGACGTAGACGAGGGTCACAATACAGGTGCAACGAGTTTGGCCAGAGACACTGTCCTGCTTTCAGAAGAAGTCTGTTCGCAATGAGAAAGAGCACAATAGTCGAGGGAGAGATGGTATGGATCACAGGGCCACAAGAAGCCGAGCGGCGAGTCAAGAGGAAAGGCAGGTGAGCTCCATGCGTCGTGGGATGGAGGAATGACCCGAGGGAAGCTCTGAGACACTCAAGGGCAGGTGGGGCTTATCAGATGGTCACAACTAGATGCCCCAAGCGGCTAGAGTTCAGCCCTTGTGGCCAATAGTCTTACACGTTCGACCCCCACCCCCGATTAGGCGAGAACCTCTTTGGCTGTGGCGCAATCTTGCGACGGCTGCCGCATCAATAGCTGCTTCTCACTTCCCGGCCACGAGGATCGCTCGCAGGTGCTGAAGCATAGCAGGCATGTCACCAACGTATTCACGGGCCGGCTTCATGGATTCTTTTTTGTCCAACAGTATAGTCTAAGAACAGCCAACCTATCGTCCCGTGCGCACTGTCTTCGAAAGTTGACGATGTCTTCCCTGCTCAGTCTAGACGTGTGTGTATCATGATGATTGCAACACGAAGTGCAACCGTGGCTTCCTTTCACCAGCAACACATCTAAGAGTACCGAGATTAGCACCTGCAAAAACGAGGTGTACACCCAGTATATGACTAGCACTAATAAAGCATATGAGCATTCAAGTACCCAACACCCACAGCCAACAGCTATGCCTAATTTACAGACCTAATACCTATATACCTAAGTTGGGTATGTGAATTAGGTGTAAACAGGTGTTAGGTGTGTGGGTGTTGGGTGCGTAGGTGCGTAGGTGCGTAGGTGTTAGGTATGTAGATGTGTAGCTGTTAAATGTGTAAGTGTGTAAGTGTTGGTGTGTAGGTGTTAGGTGTATAGGTGCTGGTTGTGTGGGTGTGTGGATTAGATCTAGGTGACGTGCTCTGATCAGCTGTAGCTATGGTGAGAGTTGATAGACCGGTATACCCTCCATTTTGGCAGGTGCGAATACCCGTATTCTATCTAAAACTACACCTAGAGATATAAATCTGACGAGTGGGTCTCTATATCCATCCTTTTCTGTTCGACATTACCTTGATAACCTCCTGCCTGAGCGCTTGCCGACGCAGCGGCGAATGAATTGGAGATAGTATGAGTGCATGCACTGGCTCCACACGGAATTACTATTGCAGGGGCTCACACATCTAAAGGTATCAAATTTAAATATCTGTCATGGTCAAAAGCAACACAAATCCCAAAACACCACAGCTATGCAGACTAGATAAGAGTATAGAAAAACAAAGGTCAGACATACTGGAAATGCAAGCCCGTACCGTACTCTGCTCTCTCATGCTCACTCCATTCACCTGACAACCGCCTAAGCTCTCCTACTTCTTCAAGGCTTCGCCACCTGTTCCTTGCGGAAGAACTTGAAGTATCCAAACGGAATGATCAACTGCATGCCCAAAGCAACCCAGAACCATGCTTTGCTAATACCGGGCATGATGCCCTCCGAAAAGTCAGGGAAAACATCCCCTGGACCAATCTTGTCCGGCGCCGTTGCCCTCGCCAAGATGGTAGCTATACTCCCAAGGATCTGAGCACCGACAAGCGTAGCGGCCACGTGCTGCCTGGTCAGCGTCAGCAGCAACACCATACCAACACCAACGCCCTGTATGGTATCCAGGACACCAAGCCAGAGCCACAGGATCCTCGAGACGACCGCCGAGGCCACCGCGCTCCCGAGCCAGGGGAGGTAGAGCCCGATGCCCGACGTGCCCCAGAGCATCTGCGCCCACCTCGGCGCGCCGAGGCCGACCGAGAACATGGGCACGATCCACGGGTGGCTCTGGCTGAACTTGGAGAAGATCCAGAGCAGCAGCGCCCAGACGATGACGAAGAAGCCGATGGCGAGCAGGACCGCGGACCAGCCCGGTATGTACTTGGAGGAGAAGAGAAACTGCCAGTTCCGGCCGTACGGCGCGCTCAGCCAGTAATTCTGTACCACCACCGCGAGGAAGAACCACGGAACGACGTGCCGGCGCATCAGGGACTTGTAGAAGCTGGGGATGTAGTCCGGGGACTGGCGGTAGTAGTCCGGCAGCCCCACGAACAGGACGATCCCGACGAGCCACATGATGATGGCGATGGGCACGGTGATGACGAGGAGGATCGGGACGGAGCTGCTGGCGATGGTGCCGCTGGTGGGCCCGTCGCCGTCCTGCCCGTTGAGCACCGAGGCCCAGTACCACAGCGCCACAATATAGAGCTGCTGGATGCCCTGGATGACGCACGCGCGGAAGATCCACGTGCTGATCGGGGAGCCGCCCTCGTCGCCGAAGTTGACTGCGAAGAAGATGCTGCCGGTAGAGGCGCCGACGGCGTAGAGGCACGTGGCGAGCGACTGGACGACGTTGCGGCTGCTGTCGGCTGGGACGAATGGCGAGATGCCTACGAGGAGGAAGGCCAGGCCGTAAAAGAACCAGGGTAGGGACAGGGTGTACAGAGACTGAAACCGGCGGTAGATGAACCACCAGAGGATGGAGCTTATTCCGTATGTCCCTGCCACTATGTACAATTTTGTGGCTGTCTGGCTCACCTCGCCCGTCAACAGGACAACTTGGTAGCTGTTGGCCGAGAGTATCTGCCCCAAGGCGAGGAGGAAGGAGTAGATGGGCCAGTCACCAAGACGAATCTGGAGGAGTCTGGGACGCGGTGTTAGTGAAATTGTGTCTGACTACAGAGTCGGTGTCGTTACTCACTTCTTGAGGCCTTTGGGTGGCTTGTAGCCAGTGCCCAAGAGAAACTCATCGTCTCGATCGGGGTCCGAGATCCTAGTATCAAACTCGTCGCCATCGTCTTCGTCGCTGGGTGCGATGCTGTTGTAGCTCACTGACCGGGAGTGGCGACCTCTGGACGAACCACTGGGCAAGGGGCTGCTGCCACTGGGGCTTCGAGAACGTCCCAGCTTCGCATCTTTGAACCTCCTGAACCATTCTCTCTCCGACTTTGTGAGGTAATCCTCAATGCAAAGCTCGTTCTCACTGTTCTTCACACTGAGACCAGCAAGCTTCTGCTCAAAATCGCGGTAGTACTCTCCAGTGCTGTCATTGAAGAATGGGTCGACCTTCTGCAGCTTGTAATCGGTCCTCTCGCCCACGACATCGATGACGGACAGGCGTGAGCTGTTGCGGTGGTTTGTGAAGCCACGGTCAACGGTCAGATTGCTCGAGTTTGCGGCAAGATGAGATTGTGCGGTGCTGTCGGGTGCCATCATGCGGAAGGCGAAAGTGTCTATGCTGTCACGGGGTGGGTCGTGATACGGTCCCTCTCCAACGAGGTCTCTGTATGCATTCTGGCGAGGGTTACTGTCTCCAGCTCTGTTCACCGCGGTGGTCATGGTAGCCAGGCTATCGGAAGACGAGCGGTTTCCAGAGTCCTCAGCAGCGTAGAATGGGTTCGGCGGAAGAAGAGGACCGGTAACATCTGGCTCGGGCTCGTTGATCTGTGGCGGTGGAGGAGGCTGCGATGGCGAGCGTGACCGGCTCTCACGACTTATTATCGACGGCGCGTGTCCCGATGATTCGACCCGAGTGGCGAAATATGGAAGGGAAAGGCTCGAGGACCGTGATCCGCGGGGACTGACAGCTCGGGATACAAAGGCCGACGGCGGAGGTGTTGGCTCAGTGTCGTCGAACAGCCTCTCGTTGGCCGCTTCCAAGTTGATGTTCGAGGGGACGGTCAGCAGTGGCCCACTGGTGAAGCGCTTGCTCTTCCGCGCCTCCTTGTCATGCAGGCGGATAGCCTCGGACTGGAGCTTCTCAAGGTCTTGCAGCCACTGTGCAACGGGGAAGCGCTGCCTGGCTGACCATGCCCTCATCTGGACACGGTCCTTCGTCTTACACTCCAGGGCCGATACAATTGCGCCGCGGAACTGGTGAAGTAGGTGGCGGGGTGTAGTTGATTCGATCGTGTACCAGAAGCCAGGCATCTGTCCGAGACCGCCCACGCGAGCGCCAACTCCGAGAGCCCCCTTTCGACCGAACTCAACGGCCACAAGCCCAAATGGCTCATCTCGAGAAGGTATAAGGGCAAACTCTGCTCCGCTAAAGATGTAAGGAGGCAAAGCTGTGAACTCTGGCTTGCTGTAGACTCTTTTCGGGTATCTCTCCATGAGCTTGGCCAGTTTGAGAGCGGCAAACTTCCCATAGAGATCGATGACAGGTCCAACGCAAATCAACTGGGTCTTGGGGTGTTTCTCGAGAATAGACGGAAAGATGTCCGCAATGAGGTCGACTCCTTTCTGCAAGCTCCATCGACCGACGAAGACAAAGAGTTCGGCCGTAGGGTCAACCTCGAGGCCAGCCCACTCCTGGGCTTGCTTTCGCAGTTCGCCGCGTTTAGACTCAGACTCTTCATCGATCGTGGGCTTCGTGATGTTGTCTAGCTCGTTGCTGTTCCACTCTGCCGTATCGGTTGGGTCGGGGTTCGGCAACTGGCCAATCTTGGACAGACCCCAGAAGATAGGGTATCGTGCGTACGACCGGTCGCCATATTTCTTCGAGACACCAACAGCGCCGAATCCTTTCTGATGCACCCGGAGATAAGAGGCTCCTGCGTGGAGGAGGTTGAAGACCGACCCGAACTGCACATATTCCTTGACGATCTCCGGGTCGAGATTGAAAACCGAGCAAACTTCCCTGTTCTCTTCTGGAGTTCTCATCGGCCATAAACCTTGGAACTCAGCGTTGTGAAGACTCAAAGCGCAAGGAATGGTCCGTTCCGGAAGGAGGTACAGGGGCGCGGCAGCTCCGTGGTAATCGTTGATGTGGTAAATATCAACCGGAAACCGTCTCATTGTCTCCGCAATGCAGTAATTCCATGCGCTGTAGTAGATAGCTGATTCCATATCGTCCATTCTCGGAGGGTATGGATCGGCTTTGGACTGCTTTCGGAAGATGGGCGCATCCAGCAGTACATACGTGATGTTGTTGACTCGGTGGTATTGAACTTCGACCTCATACTCCTTGCCCATAATCACCGGGAAGAAACTAGCAGCCCGTTGGTCTATTGGGTATTCTACCCCTGATACGCAAGGGACCACCCATATCAAGTCCTGATGCTCAAGCGCCTTGCCCATTAGCTGAGCCATAACGCCAAGGCCGCCGATCTTGATCTTGATGTTCCAATCGTCGATGTTGTACTCCATTGTGGCGATGAGGACGGTGCGCCGCTTGATGGCCACGGCACCAGCCCCGACATCGCTCATCTCCATGCTGTTGCTGTCACGGGGCTTTCGGAAGTCCTCGAATGACAGGTTCGATAGTCGGTTTGCAGCCCTGCCAAAGGGCGACCTGCCGACGCGCTTGAAGCCGATCTTGTTCACTTTGACCTTGTAGAACGAGCCCATGAAGGTCCAAATGGCGAAAAGACCACCCACGACTGGGAGCACAGCGAGAAGAATAAACAAGATGATCTGGATCCACCAGTTGCCCTGAGGCTCCATCACAAATCCCAGGGTGTTGTCGTTGAAGCGCAGCTTGTAGCTGAGTGCCGAGCCTGCTGGGGGTGAAGAGATGTTGAAGAAATTTGGCGTCAACGCAGTCGGGGACAGACGATCCGCGATACCGTCGTTGTCCACATCGCCGAGGATGTAAGTCTGGTCTGGCTTTTTGTCAGGATTTATACCCCAGACATTGAGTTGGATTTGTGACGGCCATTCGTCCATCAAGTGCAGCTCCCATTCGCCGTCGCCTTCGACGGACATCTTGTTGTGGATGCCTGCGTCGAAACCAAACTGATTGAACCCTCCCATCACAAAAAGATGAGGGAAGCGACTGGTGGATGTGGTAGAGTCCCTGCGGGACAGGCGGCTGCCGGGGTCTGGTGCGACATCGCCTTGTTGAATGATGCTGCTAGATCCGAGAGGAGAGGAGTGATATTGGACCATTACATGATCATTTGACCATGCCTGTTCCGAAGTCCCTTCCCACGGAAGCTCCTTGATCTGCTGCCTGCCACCTGTATACGGCTGCCAGTCACTCCAAGACGAGCCCCAATTTGTCGAGTAACGCCATGAAGAGGCGCCTGCTGCTTTGTGGTTTACAAAGAAGTCGCTGCCAGACTTGGTGAAGAGCGACGTCGAGTAATTCGCAGTCATGGGCCACACCACGGGATTGTCGACCGAGCCCACTCGGAGTAAGAAATTGTCAGCGGAGTTTGTGCTGTCCTTCCCGCCTTTGGTGGCGGCGTCCTTGACGATGATCGAGTGGACACCGTCCTGGACGTTCTGAAGCGTCGCAGACCAGCGCCATTTTGAGCCGATTGCACCGATGTAAGGTGGCTTTTCGTCGTCAGAAAGCGTGGTACATTTGACGGTGGCATTATCGATCTCAGCGTTCCCAGCATCTCCCTCTATGAGCGAGGAAATGGTGATCGATTCTGTCACCCCGTCGCAGTCCATCTCCCGCGAGAAGGCGAAGCTGACATCGAATGCCCCCTTGGCACCTGCTGAATCAACAGAAATATCATGGCCAGGCGCGAACTTTGTGATCATCGGAGGAGCTTCTTTCCAGTCAGCCTTCTTCACGTAAGCCCGGTATTCAAAAGGAGCCATTGTGATCTCGGAAAGACATCCGCTTGTCTTCTCAGAGCCATCAAAGCCAAAGGACTTGGGGGAACTCTCGAGCTCGATCTCATCGTAGGGATAAAACAGATTCTTGAGTTCAGCCTTGGCGTCGAAGGGAGAGAAGAAAGCCGTCTCGTTCTTGCTGCAGTCAAAACTGTACTTTGTCTCTGAGTCGCGGTTGTGGTAGACAAACCAGACGGGGTCTGAGGCAAACTGTCCTTGCACGGTGGGGAAGAATGCCCGGGCAACACTCCAAATCCCGCGTTCAGTAGGTGTCGTGCTCCCATTCAACATGGTCAAGTCAGTCTGGTTCGAGAGCTGTTGTACCAGCCATCCTTCAGAGAGCGTATCATAATTCTCTCGCATGGCGTACATGGCCTTCAATATGTTCCTCGTCGGATGGCTGGGATCTCGGTGGTCTCGTGCGACTCCATCATCCTCGCAACCCCGTCGCCCTTGGTCTATAGGCCAGTCAATGTACTGTGAGCTGCCCAGACTGTAGCAGCCATGCATCTTCCACGCCGGCGCAGGACTCATTGGTTGACGGCCGAATATGTAGTTGTCTGCTGTGTTGTCCATAACATAGAGGTTCTGCTCCTGGCCGTAATAGACCAAAGGAATGCCAGGCAAGAAAATTGTTGTGATGAAGAACCCTAACAGTTCCCTCTCAACTCCTTGAGTAATCGCTGGCCAGCGGAAATTGTCTTGCTGTAGGAGTGTTAGCACATTAACTAGGCCATACTAGTAGAATACTTCGCGGGCTCGAAAATGAGCCTTTCTCAAGATTTGAAAGCAAAGAGGGCTTGTTTGGAGGGAAGACTCCTCCAGGTGTGTTACTTACATTGGTGACCCCGTACATATGTCGTGGGTCGAATTCGCCGGTATTCGGATTGACCAAATCGTTTGTGAGAATCATCTGGTTCGTGGCATTCACCCAGTCGAGCGGAAGATCATAACCAGCCTCCAGATTACCGCTCATGCCGAGAAACCTTGTGAGGTAATGGTACACAGAATAGTGGAATGCGGCCGAATCGAGAGCGTTCTGGCCCTTTTGGCGGAGGAAGAACTTGTCCTCGTCCTGCTTGCCTGTCAAATTCATCGCCGTGGGAAGGTCCTCCGGCTGTTGATCGGGTTGCCGGCCCCGGCCGTAATAGATGGAGCTGAGAGTGTTGCCGGGTGTGAGCTCGCCCGGGAGAAAGAAGTTTTTCTTGCCAACCTTGGCTGCGCAGTCACGCATTGCTGCGGAGAAGTTGCCTTGTGCGTCTACTGTCACTTGAGCAGCCTTGTCGAATCGAAAACCATCGATATCAAGCATAGTAATGACCATACAGGAGAAGTTTTCGAGACGCTGGCGGACAGAAGGTACCCAGTCCCTGAGACGGTCCTGCACAGATGCGAATTTTGTGATCTGTCTTTGGTAGTCCGGATGGACGCCAAAGGCCTCTGTGTCGCCATATTGGTCGAAGTCGGAATCATAACAGCCCTTGAATTGATCGCGTTCGGCGTCATCAATAGGGAAACCCGTCTCGTTCCAGAATCGAGGATATTCGCAGGCGTCGTTGTATTCATTACCGAAAACGAAGTCGTGGTATTGCCTTTCGGTCTTGTATAAGACTTTGTATTCGTCTGTCTTGAAAGGGGCAGAATTATTCAAGTGGCCTTCGAAGCCGAGAAGGTCCCCCAGGCTGAGGGCGCAGAAAAAGTCAGTCGGTACATGCTATCGTTTCTGGAGTGCTTTGACTCACGTGGCCATTGTGTTATCCATCACCACGTACATCCCTCGCGTGTGTATGTCATCAATGGCTTGCTGCCATAATTCGATGTTGCCAAAGTGGGCATCGAGGAGGGTCAGATCAATCGGCTAGAGAGGAGTTAGAAGTCGGAAGCTCCCAGTGGTGGCCTGAATCAAGAACAAACCGAGTATGCATCTGATCCCCATGGCTGATTTATAAAAGGCGAGCCGGCAATGTAGACTCCCTGAGAGTATGTCAATATGTGGACTGAACCCCGGGGCCATTTCAGTTCAGCACACCTTGATGCCCATGCCCTGGATGTAATCCAGAGAATCGACCAAACCTTGAAGATCACCACCATGCCTAAGCTGTGTGCTCCATACATCTTGCTCGAAAAGAGTGCCATTGGCGTTATCGTTGGAGGGATCACCGTTCACCCACTTATCGAGCATCACAGTATAAAAAGGGAACCTCCAGTTGTCTGGAGATGGATGATATGTGTGACCATCGCGCTCACCAGAATAGTCCAAGGGACTGACTGCTTTTTGGTTGGTATTCAGGTTGTACTCAGCATAGGCTGGATCGTAACGAAGAGCTTGGGCTATCGAGGCCACAAGCAAGAGGTAGAGGAAAGACATGGCAGTAAACGACAGCGCCCTGAGTGGGCAAGTGGAGGGTGGCTCCCGCGAAGGGGGTCAGGGGGATCGATAGAACCGAAAAGGAAGACAAACAGAGCGCACTAGAATTTAGAAAAAGAAACGACGTCCCATCCAAATTCATGGTGGATCGAGATATATACGGGTTGTCAGAGAGTATCTTGACAGACAAGGGGTGGCCACCGTGGGAGAGGCAGCGGTCTGACTGCAAGCCACAATGGGAGGCTGAACCTTGGGCCCAAGGGCCTAGCGTCCCATGTACGGCTGTGAAATTCCAAAAGGAACATGCGAGCTCAGGAGGAGACGCAGCAGGCACCAATATTTGCGCTCCAACGACTGAGCTTAGCGGCTGATGGGAGACGATGACTGTAGCTCTGCCGTCATCCGCATGTGCCTCGACAGTGACTCTCTAGTGGGGCAAGCGAGTTCTTTTGCTGAAGACAAGACTCATCGGCTCCCTGCCTAGCCACTCTGGGCAGACACGAGATGCGATCTGGGATGGGCTGGAGGGCCCAGTCCCGCTTCCTGGTAATAGATGGCGGTGCGACCAACATGTTGTATGTATGCCGCATCAAAAAGCCTCTCGATGTTGGTGTGATGCACAAGGGTAGACTAGGTGATATCCCGACAGGTGGTGTAAGTGGGGACAACAGTAGCTTCCGGATATAGAAATGGAAACGACCGCGTTACCAACAAATCTTGATCGAACCCTACCGGGCGCCTGGCCGCCATAGCACGTCGCAGTCCAAGCTACCGCTGGTGGTGTGGCTGCTGCCGGCGGGAGGAGGAGGCGCTGCGCGGTAGACGGTATAGCCGTGTGTACTCACGGGTCAGACGAACCACTCCAAGACGCAGACCGATGTTTGAGGCCCAGAATTAGGCGGGCGGGCCCCGACAGCGCGGATACCAGGTCGCGTGGCAGCCAGCCGCAGGGACCAGCATGCGTTTCGACTGGTAGGCCGGTCGACTGTAGGGCTGTGTTTTCCCCGTTTGAGAGGCTGAATGCCAGCAGCACCCGCATCATGAGGTTACCACCCCGGCGAGCCAGTCAGCTCACACCAGCCATGTATCCTCCCCTAACCATGTCCGTGTGTGGTGAGCAGCCGTTGACCGGGGTGCAATTGGACGTGGAGCGAGGTGCAAGGTCCAGAATGACCGCCAAGTCCACGTCGATTATGTCTGGTTCGATGAAGGAGGGTATCGGGGTTGCGATACTTGGATCCAGCACCACTGATCATTTTCCCACAGCGAGCTGCTGGAGACTACCCCGAGAAGCAAGTACCCGATGGGCAGCTCGCCAACAGTCCGAAGCCAGCTGCGCGTTGGACGCGCGGATGCTCACACAGAAGCATGCGTGTATCCCGTGGTTTTGTTGCTCGGACCTGTCATTCCTCTGAGTAACCATCACGTAGATGCGACTGACAAGGGGTATGAAGGTCCCTGGTCGCCAACAGTCATGCGGTCTTTTTTACACCAGGTTCCAGCATCAACTGGGTGATGAGTAGCGGAGCCTGATGGCTTGGCCAAGGCGCCAGGGGGGTTGTTGAAGAGGAAGAGTGCGGTCTGTCCACAGCCCCAGCGATGGCCATTGGGTGTGGCTTCGCACGATGCCGGTGTTGGCATCGCCAGGTGCGTCCGGACGGAATTGGCTGACATCCCGCCGGCGGAAGAGGGGATGTCCCACGGTACAAGCGCAACCTCCGAGTGCAGGGCAGGCTACAGGTGGCCGGTAAACCGAGTTGATCTCCCACCACAGCTAGGTGGCGTGTGTACCAGGGACAGGCCATGTTGGAGTGTCAGCACAGGGAACCAACGCGGCCGCCCTTGCGCAGTCACGGCATGTCGTTGGAGTCAACGCCAAGGAGCGACTGTGCAGCAGAGGGTCTCACCCAGGTACCTCCCTACCGCGTCTACATTACGAACAGGGTACATGCACACAGGTAGAATAGCAGCGCCTGGGTCAAGTCGTTACCCTCAAGAATTGCTCCCAGTCGCGAGAGATAATTTGCAACCAGTGCCACGTATTGATGCCCACCAGATGAGCTCGAGCAGACAGACAGACACCAGGCGTGGTGCGGATCGAACATGCATTGGGTTCTGATCCCCATATACTTCAAGTAGCCTGGACTTCACTCATTGGGGACTTCCATGGACAGCTATCCACCTATGCTACCCAGACGGACACCAGATCGCGCAGAACTGGGGTAGAGGTGTTTGGAGACTTCCTTGTCGTCTTTGTTGTCCGCGTCTCCTCACGCGTACATGCCCATTCAGCAGCTCATCAGGACCCTGGTTCCGCAGCAGCCACATCATAATGGAGTGTGCCACAAACCATCCACGGCAAGTGACGAAGACGTTGTATTAAGCTCCCGCGCCATCTGCTGCTCCGTGGCAAAGCAGCACCAGGCAGTCCCGACGCCGTTTCAGTCAGAGACACAGATGCAAAAGACACAGGTGGTGGGTGACATCGGCTTGCTCATTACGCTGGGCCTGACAAACGACTCAAGCTCTGATTCCATCGCGGTGAAACCACAATAAACCACAATAAGCCACACCGCAGCGGTCGGCGGTCGCACCGCAGAGCCTCAGAATCTTCTTGCTCCAGCCTGTACGCGCACCCGCCTACGGACAGCCGGGCTCATGACCACCATCCGGCATTCTCTCCAATCGAGAGCGACGTCTGAGCAGGCTCTGGAAAACGGGGCACCGTAGAATGCCGCCCGAGGAATGACGCATAGCTGCTGCGCGTGCTGTGGCTTGACCAAGGGCTCGGTCTGACATCAGCAGGCCACGCCGGGGTCGACAGCCCAGTGTCTCAACACCAATGGGAGAAGGGAGCCCTACGGCGCCCAAGCCCGCCTTTCTGCACAGCAAAACCTCCTAGTCGACCGTCTGGGAAAGCAAGTGCTTTACACCCCACCGGCTGCACTGCAGGCGATGAGGCCTCAGACGCCGGGTTCGCCGTTGATCCAGCACGCTACCTTTTCAGTGTGGTTCTTCTCTTTCAAGGGATCATTCTTTCGTGGGCATCGAAGCCCGACTGATCGAAAGCCGTGCACAGCAAAGAATTACCAGCCGTCTACCAGGGAGTTCCGTCGCCGAGAAGACCGTGTTCTGTGGTGTGCAGAGAAACTTATCGGGCTGTGATAACGTGGAATTTCTCTGCATCGGCCGCCGGTATTTCACATGCGCCACATAGCTAGCCGATTGCTTGCGCGGACAGCACAGCAGACACGCGTTGAGTTACCTGTAGCGCGTAAGATATGGAGCACGCCCTGGTGTCAACCGCGAAGTGGCTGTGCTCTTCCGCGCGCTTGTTTTGGCGGACAGGCACTCAGTCTTTACTATTTACGGAGTGCTGATTAACTTTCTGTCTTGCCACTGTTTTGTACGCCAGTACAGCTTGATGTAGTCCAGCGCTCTGCGCAGAGACGCACATGCGGCTGAAGGGGACCGAACAATCTGCTTATTCACCGCGAAGGATGCCGCAGCATCTTACAAATCATACAATATGCTGCAGGGGTTTCCTGTTAGATTCTTGCATGTGACTCTGGACCGCGCGAAGGAAGCGTTGCTGTTTGAACATATTACACAGTAACATCTGGGATTCCGGCGACCTTGTGGCAAGCAACATCCCCTGCCGCCACCGAGACATCTACAGCCAAGCCCTGGGCTCAAGCCTCATCCCCGGTGGTAATTATCCTTGGACTCCTCGAAATAGTGTGACATCTCCGTCCCAGAGTTGTGGTAGCCACATTTGACGTAGAAAGGTTCGTTCTGGGGACCACAGTTGAGGATATTCTTGTAGCAGCCCACATTCTTGCCGACAGAGTCCAGAGCTTGGATCATTTTCAATCCCAGACCTTTGCCTTGAAGCTCTTTGGAGATGGCAATCTCTTCTACGTGTCCAACAAGCCCTCGGTTATGGATACTGGACAAATTCTCATGAGTTTTCCGCGCCCGAGTAACAGTTCTGTAGAAGGTGTGTATGGGAGGAGAGGGGTGAGCACTGGAAAGAGGTGGGGGGGGGGTAAAAGTCACAAAATCACACGTACAACTTGCGCTCCACAACCAAGGACCCTGTGCCAACGATGCGATCTTTGTGCTCAAGGGCCAACAGGTAGTAAGTTCCGGTTGCTCGAGCCATTTCATCAAATCGGCTGTTCCATTCTTCCTCGCCAAGATCACCAACCCAAGTTAGTACCCTCAGGCAGTCCAGGTAGCCTTTCTTGAAGTCTTGCCGGTGCAGAGGCCGGATGGTGAAGCCCGTAGGCAGGGATGCCACCACCTCATGAGAAATGAGGGATGAGGAGAACAGTGGCTCATGGCCTGCCATTTCCGTAACAAACTGGAAACTCGGTTGTCAGAAATCAATAGGCTGTCAGTGGGTTGGAGTACGTAAATTCCAGGCGACTGCTCGTCCTGTTGCGGGATGATGTGTCGCTTGTTGTTTCCCGGCAGCAGCCGGATAAGCGCTTGCTCCTCAGGGACATGACAGAGAGGGTTAGGTCTGAAGTTCAGCACGATGTGCGGGGGTTCACGGGGGGGGGGGGATCGACGCATCTCAACGACGATGTCATCCATCTGTAACTCAGTTTCCGGTCTTACATCCCCCATATTCTTGCTACAGTTGCTTCCAAAAATCGTCAAAAAGTGTAAGAATAATCCTACATACTCGTCTGAGCAATTTCTTCCCATCCACTGTCTCGTAATTTTCAAAATGGGTGAAGTCGCCCCCAATCTCGACCAACTGCGCCAGCATCTGGAGCAATCCTCGGTACCAGCTGTCTTTCCAGACGCCCCGGAATTCAAGAAGCTGGCCCAGTCTTACAACCGGGTCTTTTCATACAGGCCGGCAGCCATCTGCCTACCGGAGAAGGACGACGATGTTGTCAACGCCATAAAGTCTGCCCAAGCCCAAAAAGTCCACGTTCAACCCAAGGGGGGTGGGCATAGTTACGCTGCGTATAGCTCCGGTGGCCAAGACGGCAGCCTCATACTGCATATGAGGAATTTCTCCGCCGTCAGCCTTGATACCGAGACGAAAGTCGCTGTTGTTGGCGCCGGTGTCCGTTTGGGACAGCTTGCAACAGAGCTGTTCCGCCAGGGGAAACGAGCCGTTCCTCACGGGACGATAAAGAATGTCGGAGTGGCTGGTCATTTCTCCCACGGGGGTTACGGCTACCAATCGCGAGCATGGGGTCTGGCTGTGGACTCTATCTGCGGGCTGGACGTGGTCCTCGCTGATGGTAGACTGTTACATGTCACGGAGAACGACCATCCAGAGCTCTTCTACGCCTTTCGTGGAGCCGCCGATTCCTTTGGCGTCATCTTGCGTTTCCACCTGAGGACTGTACCGGCTCCTGAGGAGGTCGTACTTTTCTCATACGACATTGATGGCATAGTCGAGGATGTTGACGAAGCTGCTGCTGCTTTTCTGAATATTCAGCAGGTTGTGCAAAATGCCAACGTCATCGACCGTGATCTTTCCTTCGGCTTCTACATACATAATGGGTCATGGACCATATGGGGCGTCTTCCTGAGAGATCAAGACGTTTTTGAGGCTAAAGTAAGCGTTTCGCGCTTCTGAGTACCTTTTATCCATACATATTGGTGTTGAGTTCCTCAATCCTCACGTGGTCTAGAGGCTAACTGGTTTAAACTGGTGAAGATGGCACCAGCCCTGCTCGATGGTTTCAAGCGACCTGTAAAGAAGTTCGTGCAAACCATGGCATGGCTAGATTGTCTAGATTGGTTTTCGGGTAACCACTCAAACGATGCCACAGAAGAGGCATATGACACTTTCTACGCTCAGAGCGCACTCATCCCGGAGCACACACCACTCAACGAGAAGGTCGTTCGAGCCTACTTCGAGACTATGCGAAGTGCCAGTCTTGACTCATCCCAGGTCAGTGTTTCCATACTCGCACGTTCGCGCCCTTTTATTCTGTACTGATGTATTATACAAAGTCTTGGTATGCCGTTATCAATGTTCACGGCGGTCCTGGTTCCCAGATAACATCTGTACCCGTCGGCGCATCAGCATATACGCACCGAGAGATGCTGTGGGTAATCCAGCACTATGGATACTCAACCAACCATCTGCCGCCGTTGCTGGACTCCACAAAGGCTGTAATTACACGTCTAACGAGAGCCGTCAGAGCTGGCGTTCCCGCATCGTCGCTGGGGGCAGAGCCGAATTACCATGATCCGGACATGGCTCGTGACACAGCACACAGCCTACATTATGGTGAAGCCGCGATAAGGCGTCTCGAGGCTTTGAAGAGCGAGATAGACCCGTCTGAAGTGTTTTGGAACCCCCAGTCTATTCGACCGAAGGCGAACTGACACAGACAACAAAATTGCTCAGTCTGATTGCGTGCTGAGATTACTGCTATTTTCCTTTGCCAAGACCAGCAGGATAGAAACTTTCCCAATTTGTCCCGTTGCTCATCAAGGGGATCAGCCTTACATCACCAAATGACAGGCTTATCGTTTCTCGTCGCCAAAATCATCGCCACAGGCCACTCGACGATGACCTGCCCACCAGCAGAGAGCACCACACTTTCCAACTCTTTCCACTCATCCGTCTCCCACGTCTGCTGCTTAAATCCCATCTGGGAGCTCGCCAGGAAGCCTCTCAGCCATGACGCGTCCGCTTTTCGCCGCCAGCACTGGTCCTTGACAAACTCCCGGGAGTCAGATGGCCCGATACGATTTGGCGCCGGCTCCCAGCACGACCGGTCTTCGTCCACAAAGTAAAGAGGCCGCTCGTCGCTCTTGTCCGCATTCACCATCATCCTCCTGGCGCCGGGTCTGAAGAGCTCTAATGGTAGCGGGACGAAGTCAAGTCCTGACATGGCTGCCGCTAATCCCTTCACCGCGGCGGGGAAGAGTCCTTCCCTGATTAGCCGCAGGGACTCCTTACTTGCGACGCGGTACCAAAGTTCCTCGAGAACCGGGTGGCCGGGGAATCTCAGCTTGAATCCATATGTTACTGCCGCCAAGGTAGCCCCAGGTTTCAATGTCACAGCGATGGACTTGATCGCCTTCGGCGCGTCAAAGTAGTGAAACGCCACTGTTTAAGTTTTCCGTCAGTCGATCACCCAGACTTGTTGTGTTCGAATCATACTCCTGAGCCCTCAGACTCCTGGGTCAAAGTTTGAAGAAGTGGGCAGAGGATGATCTTGGGTATGGGATGAACATACTGGCCACGGACGCGAAATCGATCGAAGACGGAGCTACTGAGTTGTGAATAGACTCAGCAGGGCTGTGTAGGAACGTGTATGTTGACCTATTCTCCGCCGGTGATGCAGAAGAGGATAGCATATCCTTCGCGGCCATAAGATTCGCGTTGCCAGCGTCGCTTACAACGACCCGGTTAAAGTGGTGGACAAGTCGCTGGGCTATGGGAGCTGGGCCTTGCGGATGCCAGAAAAGGGTTTGTTAGAAACACAGCGACGAAGTCTGAGGGAGAGAGAGACATTGAGAATACTGGCTCACCTGCACCGACGTCGTGAGCGGATCCGAACATCCCGTTCCCATGGGCCCGATGGTAGGATAGCCTTTCTACTGTTTTAGCAACGCATTTTGTCTAGGAAAGTAACCGTTTAAAACTACTAGATTTCCCAGTCGACATGTTACAGGACTCCTGTGCATTTAGATACTACCTCCATAACATCCTACTGTCACCCTGTTGCAATAGATCAAGCAGTGGAGACTCATAGCTGTCCCGACCTCAAGAAGGGGCAGTGAGGGAACTTCAGAGTATAGTGCAAGACAAGAGACGAGAGTTGCTTACCACATATTGAACATGCTGTCGGGATAAAGCGGCCGAAAACGATGATATGCCTCCCAGTCCAAATCCTTGAAGGCGAACGGATATTTCACCTCTCTTTTGCCATTAGGAGACACATCTGCCTCGTGCGCCTCTTCAAGGGCGTTGGGTGGATATGATACGAGTCTGCCCATGGTGAGTTTTCGGTGTGATTATTGACTAACAAGTACAGCAGACGCGATGTCAGAAACGTCAGCGGGACGTTTTGGTCAAGTCTCGCCGACAAATCTATGTTCGCTCGATGACTCCATGCAGAGTGGCGGAGAGGTAAAGCGGAAATCCATTGGGGAGGCAAAGCTGTCTCTTAATTAAACTCTGAAGAGTCGATCAGGACGGTGCGTGAATCACTGGCCCTTGCTGCCTAACCAGGCGCCATCACTCTTCACGCTGCCAACAGCCATTCTTCACCATGCTTATTGACAGAGGCCAACTGTTGGGATTGCTATGTCAGGCGTTTCTTAGACTCTGCGAGTACAGACATGGATTGATCAAGAAAAAGTGGCAAATGCCGCACGGCAATGTATTTGTCGAAGTTTCTGCGCGCGGCGAGCCCATCTCACTGGCCAGAGGAACCGCACGGCTACGGAGCATGTGCAGGTGAATCATTGCGCTTCGGCTTCTTCCATCTTCAACGCCCCTGCAAGAAGCCAGCAGAAGATGAGACATCGATTCCTATACTCCCGAAGCAAAAAAATCACCGATCGCACTATATCAAAGCAACCTGTGGATGCGCTCAACACGGAGGGAGAGGCCTGACCCAGCCAATGCGGTCCACGGTCCAGCCTAGCCAGCTCGGTATCGGATGGGGGATCCGACGGGCAGAATGAAGTTCGGCGGATATATAACCAACCTCAAGCAGGCGCGTCTTTGCCATGGTCCGACTTGTACTCAGTACGGGGCCAGCGGAAAGAATCCGCTATCGCACGGTCCCTGTGGCAGTACCCGGGCGGGCACAGACGAGGCCGTCCGGTTTATACGACAGCTTGCAGGATCGCAAGATCCTGGGCTGAGTCCTTGACTTTCCATGGCTGGGCGGGGATGGTAGTGGCAGGCAAGCACAGCGCCCATGGCCCCATGTCCATGCCGCCTTCGCCATCGTCTTCAGCCTGCGGAGACTCGTCGACGTTCTTCTCTTTGCCAGGTCCGGGATGTCGGCAAGATCTCACTGGGGTTGTTTGTCATCGTATCCTAAAGATGTGGCGAACCTTGCCGTAGTGCGGTCACGTTGCATGCAAGTCCGCCGCATCTCGATATTGCTCCTCATGGTTGTTCTTGAAAGCCCATGGTGGGTCGAAAGGGGCGGCTGCATGACACGAGACATGCTTTGTGCGACCACACTTCGAGCCGCCGGAACAGGTCCTGATCCCTCCTCGCCTCACTCAAGATGCATGGCTGCTGCACGGCCGAACGGTGATTGCCTGACATTGTCTCCCCTGTACGGGCGGGCAGTCCCGGTTTCCTGGAAACAGAAATTGATGCACTCGAAACTGCCCCCATGTTCGGGTTGCGGAAGACTGGCCCAGGCTCGCTCACCGGACTTTGAGCCGCTTCTTGTCGTACCTTGTATCTTGTTCCAGTCCGTTCTCGTGCGACCAAGAGAGCGCCATAGTTAATGTACACAATAACGCTGCGCTGAGAGTCCTTGAGGTCCCGTGGCATCTCAATTGACGCTGCTTAAATCAGTAAACGCGTGTAGAACTGCCATGATTCCGCGACTGTGAAACGGGTAGATATATATGCGAGGGGGTATCCTGAGCTCTGCGGCTACTTTCCGCTGGCACAACATAAGTAGACCACATCCATAACTCGTTTCCATTTCCCGGATGCAAAAGAATGCCACCGACGGCCATGCGAAACGCCAGATTCGTCGCTTCCATAACACTATATTACACCGTCTCAATGTAACGTTTCATTTCCCTGCAGGCGAGTTAGTGATCTGTGGGAAGAGATAGTGTAGGTCTGTGACGATCGAGACTTACCAGTCCGTGACGGCCTCATCCCATAGCCGGATTTCATGCTCCCTCGTGCCTCCGAAATGCTCGACGAACTCGTCTCCAAAGACCTCCCGGGCGATGCTTTCTTTCCGGGTGAAGCGCTCCACAGCATCTTTGAGACTCTTCGCCAACCTCTCGCCTTGATCGGACGCTCCGCCAATATCATCACCCTTGCCCAGAGGTGGGCATGGAATCTTCAACTTCTTTTCAATCCCCCTGATTCCACAGCCGAGAATGGCAGCGTAAACGAAGAAAGGATTGGCGTCGGCTCCTGGAACGCGCACTTCGAAGCGGGTAGCACCGGGTTTCGACGTTGGCGGTGCAATGATACGGATAGACGCAGCTCTGTGCTCCAAACCCCATGAGACCGTCACAGGCGCCCAGAAGTTCTCAACCAGGCGCTTGTAGCTGTTGATAGTTGGGGCAAACATGGGCATGATATCTGGCAAGCCCTCCAGGAGACCCGCCAGGAAATGCCGGCCAGTGTCGGAAAGTTGAGCGATATCAGGCCAGGGGGAGGAGGGATCCGGAGTCTCGCGGACGAGAAGGTTCTTGCCGTCCTTGTCGACCAAAGACACGTGCATATGACCAGAGTTTCCAGGAAGGCCCTGCTTTGGCTTGGCCATGAAACAGGGCGTGACGTTGTACTTGGTTGCGACCGACTTGACGACGTACTTGAACAAGCTTGCACGATCAGCCATGCCCGAGACTTCGCCAAACTCGAGGGCAGCCTCGTAGACACCAGGGCCACTCTCTGTGTGCCACCCCTCGATGTTGCAGTGAAAAGACTCGCAAGTATTGAAAATATCATAGTAATAGTCTTTGTTGTGGACCGGCCTTGTTATGCTGTAACCAAACATGCCCTCGGTCAGGGCAGGTAGGGTGTGCGTCGGATTCTCTTTGAGGTAGGAGGCCGCCGATTGGCTGTCGTCCGGTGTCTTGAACTGGTAGAACTCATATTCGGCTGGATCGATGGGGACGAGTCAGTGATCGGAGGTCTGTTGCAAACATTGTATGCGACGCGGAGGTGCTTACCTCCTGCCATGGCCCCCCAGCTCTTCTCAGCCAGCTTGTCGACCTGTCTCTTGAGAAGCGACCGTGGGCAGGCGCTCAGGGGCTCTTGGGTGTCCGGATCATGGAAGCTGACCAGGAAGAAAGGCACATTGTCCTCCCAGGGGATCCTGCGGAAGCTGGACAAGTCTGGGATGGCGATAACGTCCCTGTAACCATTCTCCTTGTTGCTGATCTTGAGCTCCTTGAAGTAGGTCTGGTCATGCATGTCCCAGCCGAAAATGACGGAGCAGAAGCCAAAACCAGTCTTTGCGATAGAGAGAAACTTCTTCTTGGAGACCAGCTTTCCACGCAGCACACCGTCTACGTCTACCCCGGCAAGCTTGACGCTGTTGTCATCAGCAAGGATGGAGGGGAGAGTCTCGACGGTGATGTCGTTCGCATCGGGGGAGGGTTTTCCGGCAGCCATGATGTGTATCCCGTGAGCTCTTTGCTATTCGACTATAGGAGGAAGCTAGATATGCAAGAAGAGAAGGCCCAACGAATGCTCAAGGTGAGAGAAGATTTGCCCGGGACAATCTGCTGCTTGCAACGTGGAGGAATTGCGGGAGCGAGCAGTCTAGTTTGGGAGCGGGAGGCAGCAGAAGGGAGAGAGGGAATGGAGCCGTTCCCGTGCTCCTGTTCAGCTTGACTTGCAAAAATGGCGTAGATAGGTGGTAGTAGCCCCCTGCGAATGACCTCGTGGGGCTTGCTGATCCCTAGGTACGAGACAAGGCGCCAGGGTGCAGCTTGCATGCGAATGTAGGTGAGTGAGATTGGGTGCCGTAGCATCTGTGTGCAGATAAGCTTCCCCCGAGATCGCAACGTCATTGGTGGCCCGTGCTGTGCCACAGGAACCTGTCAAGACTGCCCCTCATTCAAAGGAAGTACGTACCTGTCTTATCTGTTCGATGCCCCTCATTTGATATGGAGCTCTCCCTTCGTAGCTCGAAAATTGGCAAGTTGTCCATAGGGCAGCTTGCAGCTTGGCCACTCGACTCGAACAAAAGGATCAAGCAGTCCGTCCCTATGAGACCAATGCACTGATCCGTCCGTCCATTGCCTCGGTGCTTGTTGTCGCATGTACCTTCTCCGTATTTGTCCCCGCCCCGGGGCGCTGTGTGGTACCCGATCCGGTCCGGTGATCGCCCGCGGGCGGCCGAGTCAGGGACTTTTCTGCTCGCATGAGGCATTGATAAGAGCCCGCGATACTGTTACTTCCTTGGACGGCCACAGGCCGCTTCCAAGGATGCATCGATGCCTTGACAATTGTGTCACGTACAGTTGGACAGTCAGGTGGGCTGTGTGGAATTTATTGTGAGAACAATCCCGTCACGGGCGAGGCTACCGACCCCAATGCCCAATCAGCCCCGTGAGATGACAATCGCATACTGGGCATACGTACCACAATACCGATCCATAGTATTTGATACGAAACGGCTTGGGAAGACCGCCGACAACGGAAGCTGCAGCCATCTGCCTACCCACAGTCTCGCAGCGTGTTCACTTACTAAGGCTTTGGTCAACTGGCTTCATCTTCGTCTTCGATCTTCTCCTTCGTTCCCGACAACTTCCTTGTAACCACCAATAGACACTCGCCCGTGACCCTTGCTCCTCCCTCAGTCTCACCCTTGAACCCTTGCCTGTACCGCGCACCTCTCCTCCGACAGTAGACAGCAAACAGCAAATAGCAACATCAAAGCAACATGGCACGACTCTCTGGAAAGAACGCCATCGTCACTGGCGCTGCTGGGTGAGAACCATCGGCCTCTGGCCCCACGGCTCCCCTTCCTCTCTGCGCCGCCGTCCCCTCAGGTTCGCTGACCATCGTCGTCCTCAACCAGTGGCATCGGCCTCGAGACCTCCATCCTCTTCGCCAAGGAGGGCGCCAACGTTCTCATGGCCGACATCTCCGCCCCAGCCCTCGAGAAGGCCAAGGCTAAGGTGCTGCAGCTCGTGCCCTCGGCCAGAGTGGACACATCCCTCTGCGACGTCTCCAAGGAGGCCCAGGTCCAGGCCCTGGTCGAGAAGCTCGACTCGGCCGGTGGCCTGGACGTCATGTTCAACAACGCGGGCATCATGCACGGCAGGGACGCCGACGCCGTCGAGACCCCGGAGGAGATCTGGGACCTGACCCAGAACATCAACGTCAAGGGCGTGTGGTTCGGCTGCAAGCACGCCGTGCTGTCCCTGCGCCGCCACAAGAAGACAAAGGGCTCCATCATCAACACCGCCTCCGTCGTCGCCCTCGTCGGCGCCGCCACCCCGCAGCTCGCCTACACCGCGTCCAAGGGCGCCGTCCTGGCCCTGACCAGGGAGCTCGCCATGGTCCACGCCCGCGACGGCTACCGCTTCAACAGCCTGTGCCCCGCGCCCCTCAACACCCCGCTGCTGCAGGACTGGCTGGGCGACGACAAGGAGAAGAGGCTGAGGCGCGAGGTCCACTTCCCCACCGGCCGGTTCGGTGAGGCTGTTGAGCAGGCCCAGGCAGTGTTGTTCCTGGCGAGCGACGAGAGCAGCTTCGTCAATGGCCATGTGAGTGATATCCGCCCGGCACGGCTGCAAAACCAGGTTGCGGTGAGGGCAGATGCTGACAGACAACTCATCTAGGATATGGTTGTTGATGGTGGTATGACCAAGGCCTACGTCACACCCGAGGGACCGGCCAGCGCGGCACCCGTCAACAACGCGCTCAAGGACTCACTAGACGCATAATGTCGTATGGAAGGCATGGATGGCATGCCAATTTCTCTTGCAGATTCGATGATTTTACCAAGCTGACAGAATGATCTCAGATGATCACTGTCGTGCACGTGGTGCAGAATCCAGGAAGTTTTACATGCGGTGTAGCCATTTGAACGCATGCAAGCCGTGTCTTGTAGCTGAACAGTGGTGACAAACGGTGTGACTTGAATACAGCCCTCTTTCGAGACTACATACCCTCCGGTGGTGTGTCTGGCCACGGTGGCAGGCATATATCACGCGGAAAACCACAACAATACCCAGAAAGCTGCACTGTGATTAATTGTAAGCTGTTTAATGTGTCCTGAGCTAGGTAGGTCCGGTCTCTGCCACATTGTTCCTCGCTCGGTGCTACTGCTTCCCGCGCAAAATGCCTCCAATGTGACACTTTCAAAACTGACCCTCGGTGTTCCCCTCACCCATGCTCCTGCTTCCCGAGCTCCCACTCTGAATGGCGCCGACAATGCCATCCATATAGCTGGCGCCGCTCCACTTCTGGTGCGTCAACACGTCGACCCCAAGATCCTTCTCGCGCCTCTGCACCAGGTTCACATATGCCAGCATGCCATCCTTCTTGAACTCCCTCGCCAGCTCGCTCGTGATCGTCGCCGTGCTATGCAGCCCCGCGAGGGAGATCAGCTGTATGACGAATCCCTCCTTGGCGATATCCCAGATGAAAGACTTCAGCTTGTCTTCGGTGAAACCATGCGCCATCCAGTTGAAGGACGGGCTCAGGTTGTACACCAGACCCTTGCCGGGATGGACGGCTCTGACGGCACGCCCAAGCTTGGTGCAGATTTCGACGTTGGGGTCGCCCGTCTCCACCCAGAGCAGATCTGCGTAGGGCCCGAATGCAATTGACCTCTTGGTCGCGGCTTCCATGCCGGCTTTGTAGTGATAAAAGCCTTCGCGCGTGCGAGGCACGTCCCAGTCAAAGTAAACCTCCTTACCACCAGGCGTTAGGCTTGCGGCGAGGGCACGCCGGCTTGTCAAGCCCATGTTGCGATGCTCGCTGACTGTGCTCTCATACTTTGCGACGTCGCCCCCCGCCGCCTTGAGGTGCGCCACAGCCGCCTCGTCGAAAGTGACCAGCTTCGTCTTCTTGACCCACTCGGCCTCGAACGCGTCGATCTCCGGGCCCGAGGCGCCAGCTGCCTCCATCTCCTGCAGAGTCTCCGCCAAAAATTTGAGGCTGGGGTCCGCCACGCCCAGAATGAACTCGTGGTCGCGCACGTCGATGGAGCTGCTCAGCAGCCTGCCGCTCTCGGAGTCTGTGCGGGCGATGACGAGGTTCTCGGAACCCATGACGTCCCACTGGAAGCGCGCCGCGACGAGGCGGTTGATGTGCTCTCCGATGGGTACTAGGACCTTGCCCGCTAGGTGACCACACTTCTTGCCGCCATGGAGCTGGTCCTCGAAGTGCACAGCCGCGGCACCGTTCTCGGCGAACAGCTTGGCCAACTTCAACACCGCCGTCAAGCCACCGTGGCCCGTGTCACCGTCAGCAACGATGGGTCTGAAATAATCGACGTATGGTGCCTTGGCCCTCTCGGAGGGGGCGAGCTTCCTGCGCAGGTCCCATTGTTTGCGGTCGTGCATGGACTGGGCTTTGAACATGCGCTGTACTTGGTTCGGTACGGTGTTGTAGGGATAGTCGCCAAAGTCTGGGGAGACCTCGTTGGTGGAGGTCAGCGTGGAGGAGCATGCCCAGCCGGAAAGGTAGAGGACCTCTTGGTGGGGGGCCTGTTGGGTCATTTGGACGGGATCGATGGCGCCCACTGCCGAGAAGACACACATGAGACGTCAGCACAGGTCTGAGATGTATGGAATGGAAACACTCCGTGATGTTGGTCGCTTACTGGTATGGATAGGCTCGCCGGCGCTCAGCCTTTCCTGGACTAAGTTCCATAACTTTCTGGCCATGAGAGAGCTGGGATAGCTTTGCTGGAGAGAGCCACGTTTTGACACGACGTCTGCCGCTGTATATGGCCGCTTGATACCGGCGTACCTCGAGGTGGACCACCATTCCTCGACATCTCTGATCTGCTGTTGGTAGAGGGCATCTTCAGGCGGGCCTGTCTTGTCTTGCTCTGGGAGGACATGGAAGGAGTCTGACGGGAGCGAGCTGGATATGGGCGGGGAAACAGCTGGCAGCGAGGCCATACTAGGTGTCGTCGAGGACAAGAGTCGGAGTGAGCCCGGATAGGCTGGGGCGCGGGTGCCCGTGGACAGCCTGGATGTCGCCCTCTTAGGGACCGAGGCTGATAGTCTTCGCAGCATGCTGGTCCTTGCTGCTCCCTATTCAATGGCGAAGGGATGGAATGTGGACAAGATGCAAGAACTGTGCCGAGCAAGTTTGAGCGAATGTGGCTTGGAACAGCCAAGACTTCCTTTCAATCCAAGAGTACAGTAATCCAAAATGACCTCGCTCAAGGAGGCAAAAAGGTGAAGGGGCAGCGTGTGAGCCGTGACGTCCCCGTTCGGCCGATGTCGCCGATTCGGAGCCGCGAGGAACTCGGGACAGTGGAGTGGGATTTTGGGCGCGGGGAAGCGGCAACCCCAGGAGGAACGATTGGGCAATGGGCACCCGCTGCGGGCATTGAGAGCAACGGTGTCTCTCTGCTGTGGGTCGGTTTGCCTCGGCTCATCGGCAGCTGAGGGCCTTGGGGTGTGGAGGGGAAACCTGGGGGGGGAGCTCCGAGGTCCCTTTGCTTGGGCTCAGCGTCACATCCCCGCGGCTGGAAGCTTGCCCGGGTGTGTGCTGCACATTGGAGGATTGGGGAAAGGTGGTTTCCTATCTGCCATTAGCCCGAGAGGATCGGCAAAACCATCTGTTGAGAAGTGTGTGTTATTATTCTCCCTGCTTTGAATACCGAACCGACCTCACAATTGCTCTTTCTGTCCGTCAACTCGGCTCTGTTCTCCTCGTGAAGACAGACCTGTCTGTGTTTTCCCAGTCATAATCGCAGTCCAAGTCCCAATTCCGCACATCTGTTCCCAACACAAGGAACAGCCAGCCTGCACTGTCTGTCCGCACGATGGCTGCTCGAGTCCAGAGCTCTTCGCGAGCCATGGGCGCTCTGAGGCCACGGGTAAGAACCTCGACTCCGTCCTTGCAGTGCTGCTTCCCGCCGCGCCTGGGTATCTTCTGACCCGTTCGTCTTCTTCAACTGTAGATTCCGTGTGCCCGCCCTGGCGCCATTGTCAGCCTCTCGGCTAGGCCATACTCGTCTTCCTCGGAACCCGACCTGAAGACTACACTCAAAGAGGTCATCCCGGAGAAGCGCGAGCTCCTCAAGAAAGTCAAAGCCCATAGCTCCGCGGTCATTGGGGAGGTCAAGGTCGAGAACACCCTCGGCGGCATGCGCGGCCTCAAGGCCATGGTGTGGGAAGGCTCCGTTCTCGATGCCAACGAGGGCATCCGCTTCCACGGCCGCACGATCAAGGACTGCCAGAAGGAGCTGCCCAAGGGCAAGACTGGCACCGAGATGCTTCCAGAGGCCATGTTCTGGCTGCTCTTGACGGGCAGGGTTCCTTCCACCAACCAAGTCCGCGTCCTGTCGCGCCAGCTGGCCGAGCAGGCCCAGCTGCCAGACTTCGTCAACAAGATGCTCGACGCCTTTCCCACCGACCTCCACCCCATGACCCAGTTCGCCATTGCCGTCTCCGCCCTCAACTACACCTCCAAGTTCGCCAAGGCATACGAGAAGGGCTTGAACAAGGCCGACTACTGGGAGCCTACCTTTGACGACTCCATCAGCCTGCTAGCCAAGCTGCCCACCATCGCCGCCAAGATCTACCAGAACTCGTACAAGGGAGGCGGTGCTCTGCCGGCGGACGTCGATCTCGAGCAAGATTGGTCCTACAACTTTGCTGCCATGTTGGGCAAGGGCGGCAAGGAGAACGAGAATTTCCAGGACCTGCTGCGCTTATATCTCGCTTTGCACGGTGATCATGAGGGTGGCAACGTGTCGGCACACACCACCCACCTCGTCGGAAGTGCACTGAGCGATCCGTTCCTCAGCTACAGTGCTGGCCTGCAGGGTCTCGCGGGACCTCTCCATGGGTATGATCACCCGCCCCCCTTTTCCAGCTGAGTGACGTTCTCCCGCTAACCTGCTGCTAATTTAGCCTCGCCGCTCAAGAAGTCCTCCGGTGGATCGTTCAGATGAAGGAAGCCATTCCTTCCTCGTATACCGACAAGGATGTCCATGACTACCTGTGGTCGACTCTCAATTCGGGTCGCGTCGTTCCTGGCTACGGCCATGCCGTCCTTCGCAAACCGGACCCTCGCTTCGAGGCTCTCATGGACTATGCTTCCGCGCGTCCAGAGATTGCTCAAGACCCCGTTTTCCAGCTTGTGAAGAAGAACAGCGAGATCGCGCCCGAGGTACTCAAGAAGCATGGCAAGACGAAGAACCCCTACCCGAACGTCGACTCGAGCAGTGGCGTGCTGTTCCACCACTACGGCTTCACCGAGACGCTCTACTACACGGCCACCTTTGGTGTGTCGAGAGGTCTGGGCCCACTGGCGCAGCTGATCTGGGACAGGGCCTTGGGGTTGCCCATCGAGAGGCCAAAGAGCATCAACTTGGCAGGCATTTTGAAACAGGTTGAGGGCAATTGATTGCAGACATTCGTGAAGTATGAGGTATGTAGAAGAAGCGAAATCAGCATCTGTATCGAGATGTTTTCGGGCGGTTGGTGGTCCACTGTGTTCTTCCCGCACCTGACTCGTCCAAATGAAGACACCCAGCAACCACCACTTACAGCATATGCATATAAACTCCAATCTACCCGTCTCCGGCACATGCGATCACATCCACAAGAAAATATAGGATCCCGTCCGCTCTCCCTCCATCAAGCTTGTGAGAGGGCAATTAGTAGTTGGGTCGGTGACGACCAGCGAATCCTGCCTGTTGCATGTCAACTTTCTCTTTTTATCCATTTCCCTTCCCTTCTTTCTTCTTTCTGTACTTCTCTGCCCTCTCTTTTTCTTTTCTCTTTTTCTTTTCTCTTTTTCTTTTCTCTTTTTCTTTTCTCTTTTTCTTTTCTCTTTTTCTTTTCTCTTTTTCTTTTCTCTTTTTCTTTTCTCTTTTTCTTTTCTCTTTTTCTTTTCTCTTTTTCTTTTCTCTTTTTTTCAATTCCAGTCGGGATTAATTCGTTCGAACCAAGACTGGGAGGCGTGTTTACTAGTATTGGGCATCTCTAGGATAAGATCTAGTGTCTTCACTATAGATGGTGGGTCTTATACCGAGGAATATACATCTGAGTAAATAGGCTTGATTGACTTATTGCAGATGCTATAACATGCGATGAACAAACGCGACCATTACGCAAAAGGAGAACCCACAACTTAACCTCCCTCGTCCACCGCCGCATGATGCTTCCGCTCACAAGACTATTCACAGACGGCTTCAGGATATAAACAGAAAACACTTCGTTGCCGAGGCGTTAGCAATTGCGGGAACTGCCGTCTGATCGAGGATTGTGTGTGGAGGTAAGGCAGGCAGGCAGATCAACCTATCAACAACCCCACGTCAGCCACGTGGGAATGACAAACCCGGATGGTGACATCCCCAAGCCTAGAAGCTCAGGTTGACTATTTCGTACACTTCTGCCAGCTGAGGTGCACCTGCTGGGTGAAAGCGACGGTTGCATCGTCGTCGGTCACTGAGCCGGAGGCCGAGCTGTTGGTCGAAGTCAGGGCGATGCGGTTGTTGATGTTTCTGCGGTGCCCGTGGTTAGCGTTTGCACTCCCTACTTGCGAATCATTTGGGGGAAGGGGGCCGCTTGGGAGCCGTGAGATATGATTCCAGGCAAATGCTACTACTCACAGGATGCCTTGGGCTCCACATGGCGAGTAGATGACGCTGGCGGTGGGAACTTGGTCGTTCTTGGTGTAAACCTGTTTGATTACTGTCAGCTCTCTCCCTCTCTTCTCTGGATGTGAGCTGGACTATTGCGCTGCACTCCCTCCCCGCCCGAACTTACCTGGCCCGCAGCCCAGAGTCCGCCACCCGTGATGGAAGTTTTTGTGGTGGTTGTGGCGGTGGCATCCTGGGAGAAGTAGTAGGTGCTCAGGAACGTGCCCGTGACGCCAGTGTCCAGCTGGGCGTAGCCGTGGTAGGTGCTGTCGAGCACGGCGAACTGGAAGCCTCCGGGGTAGTTGAGCGTCAGGTGGAGCTGGCAGTTCTTGGTTCGGTCAGCGACGACAGTACCCGGGCCAATGTAGGTCTGGAAGGCATCGAAGCCGAAGGTGACGACGGTCTTGTCGGAGCTAAACGAGGTGGATACGGTGCCCTGGGGGCAGCCGTTCCCACTGAAACTTGCCGCCGCGATGGTGACCTGGCTGGGATCCGGACCCGCGCCGGCGCTGGAGCCGCCGGGGAAGTTGAGACCGGGCAGGGCCGCAGCCGCGGCTGGGAAGAGGAGAGTAGCGAGGGACTTCATCCTGTCAGACGGAGGTTGAACGAGACGGTCAGGGGCAGTTCTGAGGGCAGCTGTCGGGAGGGACGGGTGGTACTGGACGGGTCCATCTCGAGAGTCGCGACTTGGAGGAGTCGAGGCCGTATTTATACACAAGAGCAGGGACCGCGCCCGCCGTCGCATTGGTGTTTATGATACACATAAGCGCCCTCGTTAGCAATGCCACCCTCTCTCCAGCAGCTCGGGCGTGACCAGCTCGACGATGGCAGCGCGGGAGAATGCGAGCAGTCAATGGAGGTATCGCTCCGTCGAGGAGAACCGCCAAGGTGCAGTTGATTGAGTGGTTCGAGAGACTAATAATCTGTGGGCACGCCGTGCTGAAGCCTCCGGCGAGGACGCACCTGGCGCGAAGTAACTCCATGTCGAGCTAGAGGCCCCGCGGGTACACATCTTGAGAGTAGTGCGGCATGAGAGGCTTGTCAGACTCATACTGCAAATTTGCGGTTGAAAAGGTAAGATAGATGAAAACATATTAACCGGGTGGCCTCGAGCTCTGGAGGCCCTTGCGAGGGAGGAGTAGTTGACGGCTGGACCCCAGGCAGTAGCCTCGGGGCGGTCAACGGACCTTGTCAGCATCTCGGCGGTCCTTAAATGCGGGCCACCAGACAGCTGCAAACAGCTTGCGCCTGCAAGAAGGGTCCTGCTGTTGGTAACCCTCTTGTGTCGGGGGACATGCCAGAACGTGCCAGGAGCGACACGACGGCGAGTGGTGAGGGAGAGGAAAGACACGGACGGCCGTGGAGGACGCCGGGCTGTGCCGAGTCGTGACCTGAGCAATTTAGGTCACGAAGTTTACGTGATAGAAAGGCTGGAACCGGTGGTCTGGACGTGATGGAGTTGTATCGACGATACTAATTCAGGACAAGATTGTCAGGGTCCAGTTGATTAAGCTTAATTATCCCTACAGCTTTGGGTTACGCCGGCCAGCCACCAGGCCTTGTGGTAGCGTCAGCAATGGCGGACTTGGCACCATCTAAACACAAGGTCTGGCCTCAGCTGGACGGAGACACCTGGACGAGGAGAGGGTCACCTGACGGCACACGATGGCCTCGAGGACGAAGGCGACTGGGCGCGTCCTCAGGCTGTGCCGTGAATGCTCTATGGGCCCACCAACGATGTCGCGCCCTCGGTCTGCTCGTACTATCGCGAGGGCCGGGGTCGGCCAGGCGGCTAAATATCCAACGCCCTCAGCACTTTTGATACTAGAGGGATCGAGACCCCTTTGGCCAACTGTGCCGACGATTTCCAGACGCCTTTTCCGAGTTTGGAACAGCCTCGTCGACACGTTCATGCAAGCGCGGCCTTGTAGTTCGCGCTTCAATCCCACAGTGGAGGCTATAGAAGAAGCTCGTGTTTGCTCATGGCCTCGGGCGTGGAACGGGCAGGCAGGCAGTCTGTCAGTCTGCCAGTGCTCACTGTCCGGAAACCTTCGGGCCCCTCAGTCCCGAGACCAGGGAACGCTCCTCTTTCTCGCCTAGGCGTTGGAATCTAGAGAGATTCTGGACCATACGTGCAGACTATAGCCTAGTAGAGAGGACCGCCCCTGGCTCTTTTCCGAAGACTTGAACTGTCCAGTCGCAACAGGTGGCTGCACAATAGGCCGTCCTGGCCCTTGCCAGGTCCCATTGGCCGAGGCAAGTCACCTGGACGTATCCGAGAGAATATTCAAAAGGGAGGGGTTCTGCATGCGACGTGCAGAGCGAGTAGGGCGACGGAGGGGTGGACGTGGAGTGGACGGAGTTGCAGTCAAGGTCGATGGCCAGCTCCAGCTCCAGCCCCAGCCCCGGCTCCCCGGCTCCCCGGCCTCTCCCACGCAGCCCCATCCAGCTCCAAGCGGGTCCATCCGCGTCGAAGGGTAAGGGGCACGAACCGTGGGCTCGGGAAGCGGATCACTGCTGATCACTCGACGTCTGTGGGGAAACGCCCCACGGAGAAATTCACCCAGGCAGTCCAGGCCCTTCTGTCGCCCGCGAAGCCCCCATCTGTCTGCGTGCTGTGGTATGCGCGGACTTCTCTCAACCTTGTCAGCCCTCTCGAGCTGCCCGCCGACTCTCGTGGCTGTCGTCCGCTGCCCCATCTGTCTGCTGCACGCCTCGCATTCCGCGAGGTCGAGGTCGTAGAAGTGGGTATTCTATCTCGATTGCTGTGCATTACTGTGGGCCTGTCAGTGCAGGCACCCTCTGCGAACCACACAACCTGTCACTCGGTCTGGCTGTCAGTCTCTCCTGAGCTCCTCATCCCGGATGCCCGAACACCTCGGGCCTTTCGCTCCTCGAGATGCCCTCTCTCCCCCTCCCACCCTTTTCCGGTCGTCGGGCCCGAGTCGCGCTGATGTCCACGGTCTCTATGCTCGTGCTGGTGGTGAGACAGAGCTGGCACGTCGGGCGATCGGTGGCCCAATGTCCTTCTGCCCGTGTCTGTCTCCCCCGCCGTGACTGCTAAGCACTCACCACACACAGGCCAGGAGGATGACAGCCGGGATGGAGACGCCAAGTTGAGAGGGGTCCCGAGTGCAATGCCCTCGGCCACCCATTCCAGGCAAGCCGACCGGAAACCAAACTTCCAAGCCGTGCTGTCTGTCAGCTAGCCTACATCATCACACTCCCTTTAGCCTGTAAGAGCTATGCCCTATCTTGCCTCCCAGAACCGCGCCTGCTGCTCCTCCTCCGCCTCCTCCTCCTCAGATGACGGAGATCGCCAATCATGCCGTCTACTCCACGCCCAGAATCCTTGCAATGCGGGGTGCAGAAGACTTTCGCATCCTGGACAGCTCCATGAGGGCCCGTCTGGATCGAGCCCAGCCAAACGAGACCTCCCATTTGAGGACCAGAGACGTGACAGCGGTACGAAGACAGCTCTTTGTCCTGCCCGGATAATTTTTCCATCACTCACAGGCCGTCTCCCGGGCTGATGGAGCCACCCTGGACGCGGCCGAGTAGTTCGTGATGGGCGTCACCCCACGGGTCGTTCCCCTCTTATTCCTATCTGGGTAAAGCCAGAAGTGGCGACCACCAGATAGGACTCGTCCAGAACCACAACACATGTATCATACCAATACTGCCGGGACGAGTACAAAAGCCGGGATTTTCCTTTCAAGTCTATCCCTTCGCAGCATTACAGTATCCCTCATCTTCTCCCACGACAGCTTCACACAGCCAACGGCATACAGAAATCCGTGTACCCGACAGCTACAGAAATAGACCCCAGCAAGTAATTATCCACCACTCACGGCAGGACTAGCTAGCTGCACTCGGTCATTATGGGCTCCATCGAGAAGACAATGAACGCAGTACAATACTACGGGCAACGAGACGTCCGTCTGGAGCAGGTGCCGCTGCCCGGCCCAGTGAAGCCGGGCTGGGTCAGGATCGCCCCCAAGTTCTGCGGCATCTGCGGCACAGATCTGCACGAGTACGTGAGCGGCGCAAACCTCATCCCCACGCCGGGACACCCACATCCCATCACGGGGGAGACGCTTCCCCTGACCCTGGGCCACGAGTTCTCGGGCGTCGTCGAGGAGGTCGGCGAGGGCGTCACCCACGTCAAGAAGGGCGACAACGTCTGCATCCAGCCGACCCTCTGGGACGACTCGTGCAACTCGTGCAAGAGGGGCCTCGTCAACTGCTGCGACGGCAACGGGTTCCTCGGCCTGAGCGGCTGGGGCGGCGGCATGTCGGAGCTGACCAACGCCCCGGCCGCGGCCGTCAAGCCGCTCCCGGCCAACGTCTCCCTCGAGGTCGGCGCCCTCGTCGAGCCCCTGGCGGTGGGCTGGCACGCGGTCAAGATATCGCCCTTCAAGGAGGGCGACACGGCGCTCGTCCTCGGGGGCGGGCCAATCGGGCTGGCCGTCATCCAGGCGCTGGTCAGCAAGGGGTGCAAGAAGATCATCGTCTCCGAGGTGGCCAAGAAGAGGAGGGACTTCGCGACCCACTTTGGAGCGCACGCCGTCATCGACCCCGTGACCACCGACGTCGTCGCCGAGGTCGAGAGGCTGACGGACGGGCACAGGGTCGACGTGGCGTACGACTGCGCCGGCGTGCAGGTCGCGGTGGACTCGGCCTTCAAGGCCCTCAAGACGAGGGGCATGCTCGTCAATGTCGCCGTGTGGAAGGGCAAGGCCTCGCTGAACATGAACGACCTCGTCTTCAGGGAGCGCGCATACATGGGGGGTAAGTCGTGACCAATTTTCCCGGCGCTCAGTTCTGCTCACTTTCTTGTCCCATTTCTGAGCTGTGCTGACACTCCCAACCAGTTGCCACATACGTCCACGGTGATTTCGAGGAGGTCATCGAGGCCATCTCCACCGGCAAGATCAAGCCCGCGGACATGATCACGAAGAAGGTTGCCATGGACAAGGTTGCCGACCAGGGGTTCAAGACGCTGATCGAGGACAAGGACAGCCACGTCAAGATTCTTGTCGACATGACACAGAAAGTGGCTTAAGGCAGGACGGGCGAGGGATGGAGTTGCTGGCTTCTTTGCTTGACCTGGTGTTCGCTTCGATACCCGGTGCATCCTTGACGACTAATGTAGTTTTTCGATAACGTTGGGCCATAATGTAGTAATGTAAAATGTAGTTAAAAAGGTAGTTTCCTCAGCATCATCATCAAGACATGATGATATCCCGGAGCTTTTGAGTGGTGATTACAGTTAATTGGACCCTTTGATGGCCGATTGCAAGGGAGCATGCGTGTCCGTATTCCCCATGTCATTGCTCGTCCAGAAGTGCCTCCGCATATCAGCAGGGAGCGGGAGCGGAGGGGTCTTGTGGTGATGGAAAATCCTCAGCTCACGCGGCTGCACCGTCCTGTCGCATATTGCAATGCACCTCTGGTCGGTGGCGTCCCTGGCAAACTCTTTGAGCGTGGCGATCAGCGTTACCAGCTTCTGGAGACGATCCTGGACTCTATTCTCGTAGGCGACGAAAGATGTTGCGACTTGGACCACGTCAACGCTCGTGAAAGAGCCTCCGCTGTATTTCCCACGGACCAGGGAAGGGACCCTGCCGAGCCACAGCTGGGGCATCTTCCTGATTCCGGATAGGCCGCTCGCGGAGAGCTCCGCCGCGTCTTTGCTGAGGGTTCCGGTGCCCCTTGGAATCACCTCAGAGCGGGGCTGGTGCCATAGTCTAGGTTCCTCAGAGGCTGTCTGGCCTCGAGGCGCGAACAGGATTTCCTCTGCCCGGGTGTTGGGCTGCCACTCATCTGAGAGCTCTCTGAGCGGCACAGAGCTAGGCTTGGGGTGGAATTCCCATCGCGTATTGTGCGAAGCCATCGCCTCCGCAGAGGCTGGCAAAGCAGCGTCGAGTTCTGACAGGACTGCGCAGTTCAGAGGGCCCAGGTCGTACCGGATCGCACGGTGGTAGGTGGCACTATCCTGCAGCCGGCGTTGAAGAAGCATGTCTTCGAAGTCACGGCCGCGGTTGGCCTTATCCCGTACCCTCTCAGACACCCTCTCCAACGCAGGCGTGACGATGAGAGTGTTGTGCACCACGGCCAGATCAAAACGGAAATCCTGCTTGACCACGCCGTGGACGAAGCGCAACAGGTGAGAGAGTGAGTTACGGTTGATGACCAGGTCGACACCATCAAACCTGAAGCCCGGGTTCAGGACAGACAAGCTCTGGAACATTGGTTCAAAGGGGTACAAGGGCATTTGAGCTATGTTCGCGTCCCGGTGGTGCTCCGTCTTGCTCCTACTCGTCACGAGAAACGGTAGCTTATGCGGGATGACCACAGGTGCCTCTCCTGGACCCGCCAGGACCACATTAGCCGTTGTAATGGAAGATTGTCTGGTGGTCGACGTCGAGACTGGATGCTTCTCTCACCGGGAACATAAATCTGGGGCTGCGTCTTGGGCTGTTTCTTGGGCCTTTTCTTGTGCTCGACTCTCCAGCTATAACTACAGAGGAGTTCGAACCCTGCGGCGCTGGTCACCGGATGTGCACACGGTTGCAAGGACTCGGTTTGGATTTGGCCGATTTTCTCCCCGAGGTTCCGGGCCAGCCATCTCTTCCTCTTGTCATCGAGTCCAGCGTGTCGAAGACGCCGCCGAAGCAGAAAGCTCGGCTGACTTACCGCCTTTCTCGCAAAGGTGGGCAGCATCAGGGCTTCGTCTGCAAGGCTTCGTGCTCACATGTACCGCATGGTGTTTGTCGATGGCAGAAAGCTGTCAGAACAGGGCTACTAATAAGCACGCGTCACGTACTGCAGCTTTTCGCCCGGTGGAGTGAGTGTTGGACCTGGAATTGTTAGCGGCCGCGGCCGCCCCCTGAAGCTCTAATGAGCCAATCAAGGAAACCCCAGGGTGCAGGTCGTGCAGGGTCCGCCACCCCACGCAGCGAAGCAGCCCCACCCCCTTGACTGTAGGGCTTGGAGGAGGTTGCCCTTGCAAAATCACAGCAGTCTAGCAACACCCGGATCGAGATGGTTAGCCGCCATCCCAAGGACTCACCAGACGCAGCGGTGGAGGGTGCTAAGCATCCAGATCTGCCTCCGCATCGTGCCGCACGTCTCATAGACAGGCACGCCCCCCTGCTTCGCCCCCGAGAGCTCGGCGTCAGCCGGGACATCGAGGACATTGCGACTCGGCCTTGGCCTTGTCTGCGGTCTTGACCTTCTTGCTTGCGCTGGCAGGTAGCTTCTGAGCAGGCCTTGGGGCTGGCTCTCCCTGGAGAAGATCCCGGCTCTCTCGTACATTCTCGACTCTCGGCCTGCCTTTGGGCCGTTGCCGCGCTTGAAGGTGTTGTGTAGGCCGTCGCGCTGCCTCCGATAACGTCTTGGAACTCACCGTCCTTCTGCGCCCCGGAGTCGGTCCAGAGGCGGATCTTGTTCCTGATCAAGTCGGCAATTGGGGAGATCTTGTACATGCGTGAGTCGTCATCGGAAATTTCGGGTACCTCCTTGGGGAAGAGCTTGTCGTTCTAAGCATCCTCTATGGCGTCAGACTTGCGCATACGACTCCTGCCTCGAAACGCCATACAGTTATCACGTTGGGTTGGCTCACCGCAAGCGTTGCTGGGCTTTGGGACGTCATCATCACTGAAGCCGTTCAGAACAAGTGTTCTCGAGGTTATAGCTCGCTAAGTGTGTGAAAGTTTTAGGTTGAAGAGAGAAAATTCAGTGGAAGCCGCCTCATATTCAGTCAAATAACCGCCCTTTAACTTCATATGTTCCTCTACATTGATCGGCGAGATAACGGCAGTCGAGTTCCGTCGATCATTCTCTCTGTCCAGCTCCCCAGGGGAGCATCGCGTCACGCGTTGTTTATTTACTTTCTTAGAGCACTTCGTCATCTTCACTCCCGCCTTAACGAGCTAGACAACTGTAAACTCGTACTTTATCAATTAAGTGCAAACAAATAGACCACATAGCGAAAAGTTGTAATATTCTCACAGGTAGATGATGCGTCAAACTGCCTAGGCAAGTTTTTGGAATCGACATGAGCATATGGACATGTCTAACGCGTCTCACTAGTCGGACTGTATCGGATGTATCTGGAAGCCTTTCGCACATGCAAAGTTGAACTTCCTGTTTGAACATACAAGGAAGACAAAAGTTTACATTTCACGTTGCTACAAGTTTGTTACAATGCGACTGGAAAGCACTTTGACCTCGTTCCAGACATACGTGCACTAATGGAAGTAGAACATCTTACGTTTTAATCGTTTGTCAGAGGATCTCATTTGGAAAACTCTCTTCTAGGTCTGCTGTTCCTTGCCAGGAATACTTTGTTGCTAAATAGAAGCAGCATCTCTCTGCTCGAATACCCAGCCGCTACCTCTGCCTCAAAGCTCACGAGGGCCCGACGCAGGACCCTCCTATGTTCTGGAAGTACACGAGGCTGTTAAATTCGGTATTGATCTCTTTGAGCTTCCACTGCTTATCATCTTGATCACAAGCGAGCCCAAGGATGGCTATTCCGGCCACGACCTTGCCTGCTCCAAACGTCTGGGTATACCGAATGACGACCGTGTCGCGGGTGACAGCGTAAGTGCCAGTGACCACTACTGGAATCTTGGGCTGGGTTGCCTGACTGGCTATGAAGGCCTGCTTCGAGGGGAAGGTGACAGATCCCAGAGGAATACCGGCCAAGACATTGATGCTGTCAGAGATGTCCTTGAAATCCTTGAAAAGGAAGGATTGAGCAAGAGCCTCAGAGTAGTTTCCAACCACCTGGGCATAGTTGTTGACAAGGGCAGCCACCGTCTGGGGATTACGCTCCAGAGTTTTGGAGCAGGACAGGAGGCCGCCGGAAGACGAAGAGCGCTCATACCCCAAGCTCGAAGCAATGGTGGTGGAAATCAAGAGGAAGACAGAAGTGAACCGCATCTTGGATGACTAGGTATCAACACGGTTTGGAGAGTCAGCCAGTGACAGGAAATGGGGTCGGTTCTGCGGCTATCATGTGAATGGGATATACTCACGGATGGGGAAATCGGCTTTGTTAGTCTTGAAGCTCGCGAAGAATTTGCGCCGCCAGATACTGATGTGTCACGGAATTGAAGCAGGCAATGAGATGTGCTAGCTGTGGTCGACCGGTCATTGTAATTAACATGAACTTGCTCAAGGAGCGCGCTGTATTTATACCCGACATCTCATAATACTTACCACGGATGATGACTGCTTACTGTGCCTATATTCAGACTATCGATCCAAACAATCCCTGAAAGGGGATAGCGAGGTCTGTTTGTCTGTGATACGGGAGGTGCCAGCGGTCGTCGGGACCGATAATTCAAGGCCAAAAAACACACCCACCCGCAGTCCCGAGGCGTGCAGCGCCCGGTCTGCGACTCAAAAGCAATTAGACGACCGGGAGGTCGGACCCGAGGGGATGGGGAGGCAACCTGTGGGAACCGTGACTACTGAATGTGGCTGCGTGCTGCATTCCCCTTCCCCACCCGATGCGATGCAATGAGCGAGGTAAGAGACCTCACTTAACTTCCAGTCACAGTATGGAGTGGCAGTACAGATAGACTGGATCACAAACGTCAAAATCGACTCAACAGTTCTGTATGAGAACGCATATTTGCCTTCCATCAATACCAAACTCAGCGCCGGAGCGGACTGTGGTCTTCGCGTGGACTCCGCCACTGAATATACTACCGCAGACGAGCTCTTCGCAGAATGTCTAGAGCACCCTGTACTTACGAAGATGGCGAGGAAACGTGTGGCTGCGGGAAGATCAGCTGCAAATGTCTCTGGCTGAGACAGGACCACTCGTCCCGGGTCTCACACCGGCGGTAAGGCTGTCAGCTCCCACCTGGGCATGTTTAGACACGAGGGGGCGTTACTGGTGCTACCCAAACCCTGCCCGCATGTCAATATGATGACGAGTCGAGTCGAGGCAGGGCGCTCATATCCCGAAAGGGCTTGGGAGGGTCAGCATAGCAGGTAGCACAGATCGAAGTAGTAGGACCTGCCCAGATAGGCGATCAACTGCGGATGGCCCCGGGGGGGGGGGGCTTACGATTATGCCCACCTGTGACCACCAAGATATGTTGGGCTGAGAACTTCCCCCACGGCACGTCACGACACGGCCATGTTGCACCGTCGTTGGCCCAGTGGTGTCGGTAGAGAGAGTGTTGTTATGTGGTTTGCCTGAGCGTGCGAACAGACTACCGGGCACTTGGGATCGGGAGGAACCGAGAGGAGGCCCTGAAAGCATGGAAGCATCCTTGGTGACAACATGGGTGGAGGGATGAGCGCTGCATCGGGTGTCGGGTGGAGGCCTTGTTTTCTGGGGACAGAGATCATGGAAGTTCCGATATTGTCCTTGACAGATACGAGCGAACCTCGAATAGAAATAGACACGGGCCGTCGATCTCTTGCCTCTTGATTCCCACTGATCCATTTGTCTCTTCATCGTGAGCATTCAATCGACTGTACTAGAGGTGCAAGCGAGATTGGTGGTGATCACCAGCCTGCTGCACCCGACAGCCGGCGGTCGCGGCAACGGGGGCCCAAGGAGTCGGGCGGGTATTTTGTCGACTGCATTGGTACTGATCTGCGTGCACACTGCGCTGTGGTACCTCGCGATACCCTCACATTCTCCTCCTTTCACGGCGGGGATGCTGAGGCCGCTAGATCCAGACCGGCTAGACCGGGCGCGGCAGACAAGCCAGTGGCCAATGGCAAGATGCATTGGCTCCCAGCATCCGCAAAGGAGAAAAGATGCACAGGGGTGCCCGGTGCTAGCGGAAACGGTTCCTGCATTGGCGTTGCCCCTGGGAAAAATGGAATATAGAAAAGGAAATGGAAGACTAACACTCCACCGCCCGAGCCCAATCCCAAAGCAGCACGAGGAGACCCTCATCTCAATCTCAATCTTCAATGACCGTGGGACCAATCCCCAGTGAAACGTACCTGCAGCACGGCACCCATTGGGCCACGCCGTGTTGCCGGCCCCCTTTTTTTCCCTCCCTCGCGGTGGCCTCCCGAGATCCACGGTGAATCTCCGTCCTCGACACTCCATTCCCTGGTTTAAGCTTGGCTACCTGGGGAGATCGACTGGACATCCTATAGTCTATGCACCTCTGCCGGTCTCTGCGAGTGCTGGTGGCAAGGCCCTTCATTCAACCAGCAGCGCACAATTACATTCATTTGCTTGGCTCGTCTCGTCCCATTTCGATCCCGTCCCGTCCGTCCCTTTTCAGTTCGTCCCTCCCTTGCCCTCTCTGAACACTGACCTCGAGTCAACGTTCACATTCCTTTTTTCCCGAGACCTTCTCGCCCTTGCCGCGGCCGCTTCCACATCTTGTCCGCGTAGACTTGGGAGCCGTACCTCCACTGCTTTCGATTTGGTCGCCAGGAAGCTTCTGCCTGTTGCGCCTCTCTTCGCGTATGTATGTTCCTGTCCTCGCTGTCTTCCTCCCGTCTTCACACCCCTCAACAGCCCTACCTTCTTCGCGCCTGAAGCGATGTGTGTGACTGGGACTTGTATGCACCCAGCGACACGCACCACGAGCCAGTCAGGGACGAGGCTAACGTAGCCTAGCCATCTAGACACGCAAGACCCGGCATTGGGTCCTTCTGATTGACAGACACGGTACTTTTTAGCCACTCCAACAGGCATTCGACACGATGCCGTTGCCACGCTCCTTTCTACTGCCCGCTGCTGTGCTGCTGGGCGCTGCCCAGTTTGCTCTGGGACAGACAACCACGAAGTGCAATCCCTTGAACAGCACCTGCGAAGCAGACCCTGCTTTCGGGACAGACTTTAATTTCGTGTTCAATGCCACTCCGGCCGAGGCAGCCTGGGAGAACCATGTCGGCAAGGTCACGTACGGTGATGAAGGTGCCGAGTTTACCATCAACAAGCAGGGCGACTCGCCCACCATCCGCTCAAAGTTCTACATCTTCTTTGGCCGCGTCGAGGTGTGGTGGAAGGTGGCGCCGGGCCAGGGTGTCATCTCGTCCTTGATGCTGTTGTCCGACGACCTGGACGAGATTGACTGGGAGTTCCTGGGCGGCGACGGCAAGCACGTCGAGACCAACTACTTCGGCAAGGGCGTGGGCAACTACACATGGATGCGCGAATACGAGATCCAGGGCGGCACGACCGAAGACTACCACAACTACACCATCGACTGGACAAAAGAAGCCCTCGACTGGCATATCGACGGCGAACACGTCCGCCACCTGACTATCGAGGATGCCAACAACACCTGGAGCTTCCCTCAGTCCCCCATGAGAGTGTCCCTCGGGATCTGGGCCGGTGGTGACCCTACAATGCCCCAGGGCACGATCGAGTGGGCTGGTGGTGAGACGGACTACAGCAAGAGTCCTTACACCATGTATGTCAAGAGCTGCCGCGTTACCGACTATGGCCGCGGTACTGCATACAAGTACACCGACATGTCAGGAACCTGGGAAAGCATCGAGGAGGTCGAGTAAGTTTCGAAGCTTCACTTATGTCTGCCCGCCGTTTCTCCGCCTGTGACTGACCAATGCCCCCGCGCCCCGGTAACAGGTCCGAGAAGAACTCAACCGCCGCGGAAGCCGTCCATGCTGAACCCGAGAAGAGCGTCTCGGAGAAATTCAACGAGCTCCCCACTGGTGCCAAGAGCGCCGTCTTTGCCTGCAGTGCCGCTGCCGCCGTTGGCCTGGTAGTTGCTGGAGCCTTCTACTGTTTCCGCCAGCGCAAGAGAGGCCAGCAGGAGGCACAGATGGCCGTCGCAAGGGCCGAGGAGGAGCGCGTGGAGCTGGAGCGGTACAAGGCCGCCGGTGTCAACCCCGACGGCTTCACCGACGTGGCTCCGACCCCGAGCGAGAAATTTGGTGCAGCCGCTGCATCCAGGCCGCTGCTGAACAACGGTGGCTCGGGCTCTCCCCCCGGCACGCCACACGACGGTCAGGACCCTTACAGAGATGGCTTCTCGCCCCTGGGCTCGGGCAACGGCGGCTACTCCTCGAACCCCAGCGGATATCGGTAGATCATAGACCTAGGTCACCTTCTGGGTCATGTGCTGGCGATGGGATGAGGGGCGGCCACCTCGAGGTTTTCTTTGCTCACTGTAGGGTCGGAGTCAAGGTCGGGTCTACTATTTTGTTTCTCTTCGATCGGCCGCATTTTCTTCGATTGTTCAATTTTCTGGCCTTCAAAGTTTGCGGCCGTTGCAAATCTCTGTTCTACCTGGACATGTTGAGCGCATATTCCCCGACGGCCTGTCATGGTCAGCCCAGGTGCGATTGGATAGGTTCATGGATACGACATATATATATACCCTTTAGTGCGAAGAGCGGAATGGAGCAATATTTCAGTTCAAAAGTCTGCAATCTGCAAAACTATACCGTCTGTCTGTCTGGGAACACAAAGCAGAGTTGCCTCAAATTGCTGCCCTGAACGAAGTGTCATCCCATATTACGATCCTCCATGGTCACGGATCTCCGGCCTCTCATCCTATAGACTGAGTGCAAGGCTTTGCACTGGCTGCTCTCGTCTGATAGTTGGACTGGGCGTGACAATCCTAGGGAAAGCCAAGCTTGACACCCGCAACATGGCCACACGAGCGTCCGGGCCGGCCCACAACTTGGGCATCCCGCTTCCCTAGATTGTTTCCCTAAGACGCTAGTCGCGTATCGACTCTATCTGGGGATAGGGTAGATTAAGTGACGATGACACTTTTCTCCAGGTTATCGTTGAATCAGACATCAGTTCTGGCGGATTCCGGCCGGTTCAGACACCTGGAAATGGTGCGGCCAGCATGATCCGGCGGAATCCTTGGTCAGAACTCAACTTGCACATCTGGATCCTTCGAAACAACACAGATCATCTGTACGCAGAATAAATGACCAATTCCAGCCAAATCAAGTTGACGAGTACGCGGCAGATTACAGCGCCGCCTCCTGCTCTGTCACAGACCCAGGTGGGATCCAGGTTGTCTCCCATGACCTGCGACCGTGACTGCGGCCTGTTCCGTCTCTTGGGCGATAGCAGGACTAACAACAGAATACATGTATCTGCCACCATTCTCCAATTGGCGGCATCTGTTGGCAGCAGCCGGGGATGGCCAGATCAACAGCCTCATTCCAGGAGCTGGGCCGGAGTTGACAGGATTAGCAATGAGCTGCTGCGGCCACTTTTCAGCCAGCCCGTTGCAGCCACCAAGTGCCCCAAGTGACATCTACAATACACTCCCACATTGGAGTGGAGACGATGCGGGTAAATGTTCCTGTGAGGATGGTAAAGGAACTGTCGGCACCCCAACTTGGACCTGCACAGCACCATACGTGTATGTTGTTGGCACGAACCCGTTAGGTAACAAGGGGTCCGTGATGGATGGATGCGGTCTGTGGATATTAATAGCCGACCCTAACCCGGCCTCGAGGTCCTGAAACTCACCTGAAATGTCGCCCACGTTCAGCCAACGGATGGCAGCGGAAAGCCTTGCCACTTTCGGGGGCGAGACCGGCAGGGGATCCACGCGCAATCAAAGGGCGGGCCCACATAAAGTGTCGTCCAAACCGCCGTTGTCGAACACTCCTTCCCCTTGATGATCTGTGCAGATACATATACGAAGTATCACGCATTGCATCTGTGACACACAACCGCCCCCTCACCCCTTCTGCTGCGTGCGTGCTGTAACATCCCTCTCCAGCTTCTCATAAAAATCTCAATTCGTTCTCTGACCCCTCCGTCTGTCCCCCAAGGCCGTCCAAGACTAGCCCTAACATCAACCCATAACATCCGATTCCGACAATGGTAAGTCGCTCAGAGCGTCCTCCCTCACAAGAGACTGGCTCCTATCCCAGCTGTACATCAAACACGACGGCCAACTGACATGCCAACCCGCAGGCCAAGCAACTGAGCGCCGAGGAGATCTCAATCTTCAGAGACTGCTTCAATGAATATGTATGTCGACTGTCCTCAGCGACGCAACTGAGCCCGCGTCATGTGTGTGCATTTGCATTGTGCAGAAGCTGAGTGTAGCCTACAGGACACAGACAAGGGCGGTAACATCACCGTCGAGGAATTCGCCCGAGTGATGCGGAAGACAAATCCATCCGTGTCGGACGAGGAAGTCTCCAAGATCATTAGCGAGGTCGATCTTGACGGCGACGGGACCATTAACTTTGACGGTTGGTGCCCCGACTCACCCCCAAGTCAAGTGTCCACGTTAGACTGACAAACGTGCCCTGACGAGCAGAGTTCATCACTATGATGACAGGGCAGCCCTACAAGAGCCCAGAGCCGGCCTGCGGCCGGTGAGAGCACCGCGGCCGGGACTGACGGTACGCAAGCGAGCATCGTGGGCAGTGTGGCAGCGTTCCGGGGCGTCAGCAACGTCTCGGCCCTGCTCAAACGTCAGCGAGAGACTAATAAAGTTTTCAAGGACGCGTGGCTGGAAATTGATCCCACCCTCAAGGGGTCGCTCTCTCCCCCGGCGAGGTGGAGCAGGTCGCTGCCAAAGCCGGCCTGGCTGTCACCGCTGAAGATGTCGAGGGGATGATCGATCCCGCGAACGGGGAGGGCAAGATCACATGTGAGCACCCTGCGATGGAACTTCTCTTCCGTGACAAGAGCAACCTGCTGACATCGAGAATCCGGGGGTAGACGAGAAGTTTCTTGAGTTCGTGAAGCGGCAGGAGGTTGACGATATTGTGAGCGGATACGAGTGATGCTTATGCTAAATGGCCCCAACGATATCCCCGGCTAAAGGTACCTGGGTAGGACAATCTCAATTTATTACACAGACTGTGATATGCCCAAGTGATAGGTGTGTCCGGTGTGCTACTGCGCAGCTCCGGTCCGTTGTCTGGGCAGGGCCAATATTGAATTCAAATTCCCTAAGCTGGCACGGTTCCACATTTACCAAGAGCTGCATTTTACTTTTGTGGACAACACCAAGATATCTGGATGAGACCTCAACTGGGTAGTATTTTGGCCAGGCCACATGGCAGCACCTGTCTGTGCTTTGACTCGGAATCGGAATCGCGGATGCCTTCAGGCTCCGATGCAATAGTCACCTGGACGAATGCAGTCTTACGCGCAGGTCGAACGGCTGCACACATTGCCCACGTGAGCGAACGCCGCGAATCTCAAGAGACATATGGCTACACAACATTCGGAAGGCAGTACTTGGTGTCAGCCACGCAGAATGGTATTGGAGGGGCAGGGCACTGTTACACATTGCATGGCGTTGAATGTTACAGAAGGCATCTTGCGTGGCCGATGACGTCAGAGTCAGTTGACATCTGCTCAGCTTGAGACAAAGATCACAGCACTCTGCCAACAATCAATCCATCCTGCACTGCACGGCAACATCGAACTTATCTGAAAAGATCAACCTGCCCCATCAAACCAAGTGATACCGTCTGCTGGTGCGCCTCTACATCCGTGCTAGACACGGTTACCAGCGAGAAAGATGCCGTTCAACTTCTCCTTCTCCAGCTCTGCCACCTTTGTCTCAACCAGCTCCGTCAACGGGAGGACCAGCGGTCAGGCCTACCAGAGGCAGTCGTACTCGACACCCCAGGGCTCCGGTGTCCGGACCACACAGCAGAAACTCGGCGAGGCGCCCGTCACACATACAAGGCTGTACGACGCGCAAGGGAGGGAGCTCATCGGCGACGGCGGCGGCGGCGGCAATGGCTACCGTCAAAATAACGGCGGCCAGGCATACACGCCCAGCAGGAGGATCATCAGCATCGAGGATGTAACGGAGGAGGAGGCTGACAAGGCTGCTCGGGAGCGGAAGCAGGATAGTCTTTAGGCAAAAGGGCATTGGCGTCAACGAGAGACATTCTTTCCGTTAGTCCTACCTGCTTCGGATACTATCTAAGGTTTTGAGATTCGACGTTTGCAGCACTCGAGGCGCCCCTAGGAGATTGTCTAACCAGAGCGATTTGTCAATTCAAAGGAGCAATTTACCATGTGTCTTGCACTGAGGCATCGCAGTTACCACTACCACAAGGATCGTGGAACTGAAGGCGTGCGATGGATGACTTCGTGTTGAGGTACTGTCAGATTGTGCGAACGCAAGTACCTAGCGGAGTTTCAATATGTAGTTATCTACGCGGTTGATGAGCTGTGGGAAATCTGAAGTAGGGGCAGTTGGATGCCTCAGTCACATTGACGGGATAACGTCGAGATTGTCAGCCTCATGATTTACAACTACTTCTGGCCTTTCTCTCCGTGATCAAAAACTCATGATTGATATAAATGTCGACAACACTGCCTCTGTCCGTCAGAAGCGCAGTGTCCAAATTGTTAACAGTGCTGTGAACGAACGACTCGCAGACACCAGTCGACAACGCGACAGCCGTCAGCACCTGCACAATCAAATTTTGCATCTCCTACTCTATCACCCTTATGGCCCTGTCCAGATTAAGACTTCTGTCGTTATTAGGGCCTTTGTGAATAATTACACCGGCAAAGCGGTGAGGCTGCTTTGCTGGCATCCGAGAGAAAAGAGTCGAATTCATCCGTCTCTAGCCCATGACTTGGTAGAGCAGGATCCCAACCAAAATACTAATAAGGTGGCATCATGGTCATACATTGTCGGTCCGATGCTCGTGGCGCTGCTAGTGTCGAACGAAAGCCAGACTGGACTGTGGTATTTTCCGGGGGCAAAAAAAGAAGGCTACTGGGGTATCGTGATCAAGCAAACTCCTACAACAACATGAAGAAGTTCGCGGTATTCCCGCTGTCAATACAGATACTGCTTAAACTCTAGACCTAACACGCGAAACAGTACGAGGGTAATGGGTTATTTGCTGCACTACTACAGCCAAAATAGTGAATGATCATCCAGGCCGGATGTTGAGAAGGGATGCCACTTAGAGCTGGATAATACATGCGTGGATATGATGCTGTCAAGCCTTTCACTCGCATCTCTACTACCTACGAGCGAGAAATGCCCCAGGTGAGCCAAAGCTATCTCCAAAGGAGAACATCTCTGGCCATCCATGGAAAGCAAGCCAGAGCCATAGCCGTCAGTGGCTATCCTGGCCAGAGAGTGTCCGATTTGCAAGCGTTGAAGATATTCTCTCGTCTTGGAGAATGCTCTGAGGCAGCAGCCATTCCAATAGGCTCTCCATGATCGATATGCGGTCGCCGAATACTGAACAACAATGCCTCAGACCAGCGGGAAACCTTATCAGTCAATGCTGATCAGTATATGAATTTTGTGGGCTACCGAAGGTGATCAAGACGCATTTGGTGGACATCTTTTACTTGCATGAGTATTGGGGACCTATGTAGGTCGTCTGCGTATTTCTGCGGTAAATCTGCAGTGTGCGAGAAGTCAAGCGTGGTGGAACATTGAAACACAACATAGGGGTTACACTGCACCGAATGTTTCACGCGGGTCAACCCGTTGACGTCTGGTCTCTGCTCGAGCTGGGTAAGTTTCGCCTAGGCGAACTCTTAATTCATAACCGGAACTGGGCTCAAGTCAGAACCTTTGCACATATCGAACCCCATGTATCTCTGGAGACTTCAAATACGCACTCTGGATATGAAATACAATCTTGGGAACCCTTGGATGGGGAGCCCATATCATGGGTTGCGGTAGCATGAGTCGAGTCAAAGTGGGAGTGCAAGTGCTTGTTCTGGACGATCTCTTTTTTCTTCCCAAGGAGGGGCGGGTGGCGGACGAAACAGAGGCATGCTCCGGTGGAGCATGGGGTAAGTGGGTTTTCCAGCTTAGACCCTTGGGAATCCCCGGCCGAACTCCCATGCTGAGGTGCGCTTGGTGAGGCCAAGCACCGCTCGCGTTTCAAACGCCCAGCGCCACCTGTCTGGACCGTCTGGGCTGCATGCACGCAGCTCAGCCTAAAAGAGATGTCGTCCCTTCTTCTCGTCCTCGGGTCTCTGGAGACACCACACCGAAGTCCTGCAAAGACCCAGGCCAAGAACCTTCGTGAGAGTTGAGGAAGGGCGGCGCAGTGCGCAAGGTACAGAAGCACAGCGTCCTGGATGACATCAGCGTGGACCACACCACTTTGACCTCGAACTCGACCCAAACCCTTACTTCAAACAACACAGGCTGGAGCCTCACCTCTGTCCCGCTGTGCGAGGAACAAATCATCACCACCTACGGTCTTGCACAGACTTGCAACGTCTGTCTTGCGAAACGACCATTCTCCTCGGTGGCTCCCGCGTCTCTCTCTGTCTCGCAAAGCTTGGAGCGAGGCTAAAGAAAGTTGGCCGTCGTGCCCAATCATCAACGACGACTTCCAGTGGGCTTCCAGCTTGACTCCTAGCAGAACCCACACCTCGACCTTTTTACAACCTCTATAATTACTGCAATACCACAAAGATGATGGACGAGAGCAAGCAAGGGCTCCTGAGCCCCTCTCAGCGCGAACATGGTCGCGGCTCCTTCGACGGTGACGACAAACAACATTTCTCGCGTTCCCGCACATCCATCTCCTCCGATCTCGAATCCGACCTCGACGCAACAGAGTTCCTGACCTCGGATCCTCTCGAGTCCAAGACCGACCCCAAACCAGCCTTCCTCACTGGCCAGAAGAGGTTCAACTTCAGCTCTCTTCGCAGGCCTTTCCGCAACCGTTCGAAGTGCTGTGTCGTCCTCGGCAGTGTCATCCTCATAATTTGGCTCATCTTGGGGGCAGGTGGGGCGGTCGTATACAAGAAGTTCAAGGAAGAGCCCAAATATGGACAGTCACCGCCCTGGTATCCTACACCCAAGGGAGGCTCTGCCACAGGCTGGGCTGAGAGCTACAAGAAGGCAGCAGCCATGGTAGGCAACATGACATTGCCAGAAAAAGTAAACGTAACAACGGGCACAGGATGGATGATGGGTTTAGCTGTTGGTACCAACGGCCCTGCTACCTTGGTGGGTTTCCCTCAGCTCCAGCTGCAGGATGGGCCTTTGGGCCTGCGCTTTGCCGACAATGCATCTGCCTTCCCAGCAGGCATCACGGTCGGTGCCACCTGGAACAAAGAGCTCATGTATGCCCGTGGGAAGGCCCATGGAAACGAGGCTCGTGGTAAGGGCATCAACGTCCTTCTTGGTCCCTGTGTCGGTCCTCTGGGTCGAATGCCCGCGGGTGGGAGAAATTGGGAGGGTTTCGGCTCAGACCCCTACCTACAAGGCATTGCTGGCGCCGAGACAATCAAGGGAATTCAGTCCGAGGGAGTCATGGCGAATATCAAGCACTTCGTGGGCAACGAGCAAGAGCACTTCCGGCAGTCGTGGGAGTGGGGCCTTCCTCACGCCATCTCCTCCAATATCGACGACCGCACCCTCCACGAACTATACGCTTGGCCCTTTGGGGATGCTGTCAAGGCAGGCTTGGCTAGCGTGATGTGCAGCTACAATATGGTCAACAACAGCTATGCTTGTGCCAATTCGAAGCTGCTCAACGGTGTCCTGAAGGACGAATTGGGGTTCCAGGGCTTTGTTGTGTCGGACTGGGGCGCTCAACGATCGGGCGTGGGAAGTGCCCTGGCTGGGCTCGATATGACAATGCCTGGTGACGGTCTGCGCTTCTCGGACGGTGAATCACTGTGGGGTCCGGAACTCACAAAGTCCATCCTGAACGGATCTGTTCCTGTCGACAGGCTGAACGATATGGTCACTCGAATCGTTGCAGCCTGGTACCAACTGGGGCAGGATGACCTTTCAAAGTTTGACAGGAAAGGCCCCAACTTTTCCTCGTGGACCAATGACCGCTTAGGGACAATGATCCCCGGCAGCAAGACGGAACAGGACGTCGTCGAGGTCAACAGCTTCGTCAACGTGCAAGCCGACCACAAAGATGTCGCTCGTGCAGTAGCACGCGAAGGCGTTGTGTTGCTGAAGAATGAGGACCTCCTGCCCATCGATCGAATGGGATTCACCGACGCAAGGAAGCGGGACGTTCACACAAGGCACGAGGGCAAGCTGAAGATAGGCGTCTTTGGCGAGGACGCCGGCCCTGGCAAGGGCCCAAACAAGTGCGTCGACCGAGCTTGCAACCAGGGAACTCTTGCTTCTGGCTGGGGATCAGGCGCGGTCGATTTCCCCTACCTCGTGCCTCCCGTCGAGGCTCTCCGGAATGGCTTCAACATGACCAAGGTCCAGTGGTCTGAATACTTGACCAACGCTCCGGACTTCAAGTCTGACCCTAGTATTCTCGACCAGGACGTGTGCATTGTCTTTGGCAACGCGGATGCCGGCGAGGGGTTTGTGCGCTGGGAGAATGTTGCTGGTGATCGACCGGACCTTTTCTTGCAAAAGGGGGCAGATGACCTCATCGTCAAGGTCGCGCAAGGCTGCGGTGGCGGTGCGGGTGAAGTTCTCGTCGTTATTCACGCCGTCGGCCCTGTCATCATGGAGAAGTGGATCGATCTTCCCAACGTGAAGGCGGTACTCTTGGCCAACCTTCCCGGCCAGGAAAGCGGAAACGCACTAGCAGATATCATCTTCGGCGACGAAAGTCCCTCGGGACATCTCCCATACACGATCGGGAAGTCCTTGGAGGACTACGGTGTTGGTGGACAAATCATGTACAGGCCCAATGGCGTTGTCCCGCAGCAGGATTTCACAGAAGGTCTTTACATCGACTACCGCTACTTCGATAAGAATGGCATCGAGCCGCGGTTTGAGTTCGGGTTCGGGCTCAGCTACACGACCTTTGAGTTTTCTGACCTGCAGGTCTCCTCTCTCAAAAGCAAGTCACCGCTGCCAAGCAACAGGACACAGTCTGGAGCCACGCCGCCTGAGTACTCCAATGATATTCCCGATTCCGAAGAAGCCCTCTGGCCGGATGGCTTCCGCAGGTTAGACAAATATATCTACCCATACATCGACACAATGGATGAGATCATCGATGAAAAATACGACTACCCCGAAGGATACAACCAACAGCAGCCCCTCTCCCCTGCTGGCGGCGAGGAGGGCGGCAATCCCGACCTCTGGGAGACTTATGTCCAGGTGAAGGTGAATGTGACCAACACGGGTGCCAAGGCAGGCAAGGCAGTCCCACAGCTCTACCTTGGTTATCCCCAGGGAAGCAAGAAGATAGACTTCCCTGTAAAGGTGCTCCGAGGATTCGAGAAGGTTCATCTGGAGCGGAATGAGACTAAAACTGTTGACTTTAACCTGACGAGGAGGGACCTCAGTTACTGGGACGTTGAGAGTCAGAACTGGAGTTTGAAAATGACGGGTCTATACACAATCATGATTGGGCAAAGCTCGAGTGATTTGACGGAGTTTGGAACATGGTAAAGGGCAAACACAGGGAATTGCATTGACGATGTTCATATATACTGTCCTTTCTGCAGAAAGAATCCCCCGATATCAAGACTTAACTAAATCACTACATGTGAGCACCAGCCGTCCCATTCACCAGTGAGGGCTTCGACACCATGGAGCTGCATGTTGAAATCTTATAAATGTCAGCTAATATCTGGCCAGTAATTATTCTCATTACCCCTGGAAACACAACCTTTCTGCTTATAGAGTACAACCCCAAAGTGTGCTGCAAAATCTAGGCCACATGGAACGGAGATAGACTACATGGTGCTTTCATAGAAACCGAAAGCTTGAAAGCAAGTACAAAGTCAGCCACAAGGATTCAGCTACATAGCAAGACCAAGCAGCCAATTGGTCTCTGAGGGCCGGGATCCCTATGCTCATATGCTCATTGACTTCATCTAATGCAACGGCTGTTGGATTGCAAAGTCGGTGGTCAAAGATGCACGACGCTTAAATTGTTTAATGTGGCGGGTTCAACTACTGAGTAACTCTGGAATTAAGCGCAGGCGAATTCTACCAAAGCACATGATGATTTATCATTCCTTCTTAGATTGGGCTGTTGAATGAGAACTACTGAACCGCTTCAGTTAGCGCCATTAAACAGGCAAATTAGTCGAGTTCCCTTCTAGTCATTCCAACAAAGGATCGTAGTATTGCCGGTCTCTTGGTTCCCACTAGACATCAAACTCCAGCCGCCAACAAGAGACGGTCTCTTCTCTAAAGATTTACCAAGCCCAATTCTCTCGAACTAAACATACTGGACATGTAACACCCACTCTGGATAGGCTCATATGTCGGCCTAGGCTTTGTAGGAACTGGGATTCAGAGGACCAATGATTAGTGAACACCACGGATCTTTCATCATTTACCGTTTGAGTTTCTATCAGTGAACAACGGACATACCACAAAGTTGTGGCCCTGAGAATGGACCACAGTCGATGAGCTACTGACGCAGCACCACAACATTTGAGAATGAGACTCCGACATCATGTCCAAGGGTTAGTCTTCCAGCTCCTGCACAAATAATTGGAGACAGAGAATGAAAATGGTCTCTTTTCACTGCATGATATGCACTCCTGGTCATGATACATCACTTAATCAAAGGTCTTTTACATCTGGGTCTTGCCTAAGGTTAGCCAATCCAATGAACGTTGCAAACGGTCACCAATCCCGCTTCGGCCTGGACTTATACCAAGGTAGCGACTTCATGTCGGAAAAGAAAAGTTGCCAAAAGCTGGTCTGCCTCTCACGCAATGTGCCATTTTAGCAAGGGGGGCGGTACAACAGAGGACAGGCGGCGGTCTCGATAAGTTCCAGGCTAGGTTCTCACGAACGACATTCTCGCCGATATATTAAGCTTGTTTGCTAGGCCCAAAGCGCCCACAATAAGATAAGGAGATAGAGTCTCAACGCACGAGTCAACCAGCTATCGGTGCTGTGACTTTTCGCAATAAATACATGAACCATGGCGAGCTTGGTGCCGAGAAAAAACTTAGTTTCCGAGTCAAAACCCCGAAATCGAGCCCCGGCTAGGCCAGAGGCATGAGCTCAGATTTTGATGGCTCGAGAGCGACGCTAAGTAAAGCTCTCGATTCCTTCTCCCCGTTTTCTAAGTTGGGTAAGCTGATTCCGTGACCCTCTTTGTGTTTAACTCAGGCATTGCGGTCGACGTGGTGGACGTGATGAAGTCATACCAAAACACCTGTCCTGGCAAATGAGCTCCACGCAGGCCAAATTCCCAAGTGTGTTTGAGGAGCAAAATCTGACGGCGTGACCGATATATCACCACCAATGGATTGGAAATTGGCGCCTTGCAGTGTGAGTGGCTCATCAATAACCCGTACATCGATTGTGCACGTTCGATTCCGGCTGAACACGGATTGTCGTGTGGGCAGGCCTCGTGCATAGCGGCGTTGTGTGCTTCGCCGACTGACGAAAGCTGCATTTGTCCAAACAGGCAGTCTGGAGCTCCCCCATGGAGACGCGATCTCCTAGAATGCCTCTATACGAACTGTACACAGCTGGACTACTATAGTCTGTACAGACAGCGTCGAACGATAGAGGTCATCGCTGACAGGAAGTATCAGAAACGGCTGGCATCACATATCATAACTGCGACATACCGAACACTGTTGAGGGCTCAATCGCTACCCTGATAGGTGTCACCCCCCCCCCCCCTTCAGCTTATATTCTTCGCGTCGAGAATGGCCCACAAGGTTGAAGCGCGAGCGAAACTGGGCTTGGGAAGACATCACTTCCGTGATATCGTCGGTCCGTTACGGAGCTATGCGAGAGGCAAGTGCAATACTGACATATGTCGTAGGTGCTTCTAGTTCTCACGCTGCCAGTGCTGAGTCTCGGTATGCAGCCGTTTCTTCAGGCAATTTCCTGTTTCCAATGCTCCTTCCCCCTTGCCACCCCTGAACGAGGGAAACGGAACGGCACCTTCAAGAGGCATGAACTTAGTCTAACGAATTACTGAGACAGAAAACTACTATGGCTTCCTACAAAACATCTGGGACCTCCGTATTTACAGAATCGACAACTTCACGAAGATCTTCTTCTGTTATTCTATCCTTTACTCAATGTCGCTTGCCATGATTAAGATATCCATTGTCTTCCTCTATTTGCGCATATTTCGGGCACAAGGCGTACGAATCAACTACATTATTGTGGGCACACAAGTACTCAACGTTATCATCTTCGTAATCTGTCTTGTTGGGCTCTTCGTTGCATGCCACCCTTTGATCTACTACTGGTCATACGCAGCTCCAGTCACTGGCACCTGTCCGGATCCCATCGATCGAGGTCTTGTTTACCCTCTGCTAAATATTATTATGGACGCGTGGCTACTCATCCTACCCATTTCCCAAATATGGTCCATGGGCTTATCTTGGAGGTCGAAACTGGGCGTACTAGCCATGTTCAGCCTTGGTTTGGTGTGAGTTTGCCGAGCTTTTCCATGCGATCCCCCAGCTAACTCGAAATGAATCAAAATAGGACAGGCACCATTACGTCTCTCTTGATACAAATTTCCTGAACACTCTTCCACTAGGGTTCAAAGACTACAAAAGCCCGCTCATGAATTGTAGAAAATTTGCAAGATTTCTGATGAGAGATTGAACAGTGACAATTCTACGGGTCTTGGTTTACCGTGAAAATATTGACGACTGGATTTGTAGGTCTCCCATCGACACAGGGGTTCGGAGCCAGGGAGACATAGCTCTCGATTCAGGAGTAAAAGTTTCTAACCAGATCAATTTTGGCGCAGTACAACTTGACATCTTTAGCGGCCTCCAATGGTCTGTGCTGGAAGTCACAACAGCCTATGTGATTTGCTGCATGCCCGCATCTCGCTTTCTATTTGTACAACTCCTCCCAAGATTTCGACAGCTCCCAGCTGTCCAAAGAGCACGGCCACACCTCGAATGGATGTCATGGCCAGAAATGTGGACGAAGAAAAGCAAAAACAGCAAGTGTGTCTCGGGAGCCAGAGGGTCGGCTTGAGATGGGGAACTTCAATGTGAAGGATGGCACGACGAAAACTTCCGCGACGTTGTATGGATCCATGGATTACTCGATTGGCTCATCAGAGAGCCGAAAGCGTGGCGCAGGGTGACAGGCTACCGACGCCAGGATGTAAGTATCATCGCCTCAGCATACTCTTTTTGGACTTAAGAATGGTCAAAATTGCCATGATCAAAGACTTTGAGCAGTTGTTATTATCAATCAAGTACGTGCACAGAAATATAATCTCAGCTGCTGAGTATAAAGGATTGGGATGACAACCACCTTTGAAATACTAGGTGGGAGAGCATTGCAATGCAAATCCTCGCCCAATGACGAAGTAACACACACGTTGATGGGAAGGTTTGTTCCGCCTGAAAGCCAGACATGCTTCAAATGAAGCTAGAGAATCGCCTCCAAGTTCCAGAAGCTGCCAATGTTCAGGATTGTAGGGTAGCCAGGACCGCAGATCAGGAAGATTATGTAGCCAGTGACAGAGAGACTAGCTGATAGATATCTGTACCACACTCGTCAGAGTCCCGAAGCTGTGTGGTCATGATTTGTGCCAGATTGGAGCTGTAGTGGCAGGGAGGGCTTTTCGGTCCTGGCATCCGGACCACTTGAGCAATCTTGAATAGCCAGGAACCCACTTCAGTCAGGTTCCAGGCTTTTCAACGTGGACGATTGTGCTTGAGTTTGTCTACAGTGTTATCTAACGTGGCCGCTAAATGTATGTAATACTAGAATTAGGTGTGCATTGCCTCCCATCCATAAAGTCTCCATGTCTATGTGTAGAAGAGTCCTGAGGGTGATGACACAGTCCAATTGACAATCAGGTGTGGCCCTGAATCAAAGCCAGCAACAGGAGAGGTGAACGGCAGGATTCTCTGCTTATTTTCCCACAGTTTCATAGTTGTCCCGCAGTGCACAGGTCCGCTCTAGTCAGCATGTGTGCGGCGTTGGCTTAGTGTGTGGTCAGATCAAGACTGCAGAAGGATTTGAAAATCGCAGTTGGGGGATCGGTTAAGTTCCGTGTTGTAGATCTGGTTTGGATTTCAAACACTGGTGCTGGGAGGCACTATCCGCATCGGAAGCATACCTTTTGAACCAGGTAGTCTCGAGGGACCCTCAAATCTGTTGTTTCTCTTTCATATATGTGGACCTTCCGGACGGAGACTTTTGGATGGAGTGCGAGACGAGACGGCAAGTCCGAACGCGATGTGTTGTGAGAGGCGGATGTTCTGATTATTATGGGTTTGTTAATTGGAATTAGGATGCAACGGATCACGACAATCCTTTGCGGAGGAAGGGACATGAATTAAGGTACACGGGCTGACAACGGCTGTGACACGGCTTGCTTGCATACACTAGCCCCCAAGACCATTAGCCCAATCCGCTGGCATCTTGGCTGACATCGTCAATGCCGCTGGGAATGCCTAGCTGGACGGGGATTTGTACACGTGAGACTATAAAACAAGGATTGGACTGGGCGGTGCCCTGGTCAAATTCCCCCTGGGCAGCGTAGAATTCTTGGCCGGCTGAGGCAGAGGCAGCATTGTAGGTGGTAATCTTACACACAATCTGCATGTCACTGCATCATTCGACGGACACACGACCGATTTTTTATGCTCATGCAAGGCAACGGCTTTCGGCCAGCTGGACGGGGGCTCTTTCCGTGGAAGTGGTGTCTGAAAAAAAAAAAAAAAAAAAAAAAAAGGCAGGCATGAGATCCAGATTCGTGGCCACGTCTCCTTCCATATATATCAAGACCATCTTCTGCTCTCCTACCTATCGTCCAACAAGCAGGGTTGAGCATTGTTCGAACCATCATTTAATGGCCCGTGTCAATAAGCACCACATGATCTAGTCTTTGTGAAGTATCTACACTCTGCCCCACGATCCTCTGCCTTCACGGAACCCCTTCTTGGCTCTCGCGGCATCCCAAAGCTTATTAACTCGGTCGGCCTTCAGTCCAAATGGCCAAGACTGATCGGACAGTGTCCCGAACCGAGGACTGGCCCACAAGTATTGACTCCAAGACTACGGCATACGGACCCATTCCCCGTTATCAAGCCCTGACGATCCGGATCGGTTACCGAGGCCCTCTGCGCCTCTTACGCTCACGCCCGGCTCAACGACTCATTTGCCTCATTCTGGCCTTGGCTGGTCTCCAGCTCTACCTGCTACACTCCAAATATTATAATGCCTTGGCTGCGAAGTACTCGCCCACTCTGTTCACCAGATTGCCTCTCAGAGACGAAGACCTTCTTGGATCCACCCAGTGGCAGGTGGACACTGACGATCAAAATCAGAGGCGGCAGCAGCTGCTAAATAGCCGAGAGCAATGGAAGCGATTGGGCTCTGGATGTGAAGGGGACACATTTTCCTTCAACAGCTCGGTCATCAAAGTTTTCAAGCCTGAGCGTAGCCCATTAAGGAACTGTGTACCACATACCGAGTCTAGGCTGCGCTGGCCGCCAGAAGTTCCAATCTCGATTCTCCTAGGGGGACTGTCGGAACAGCATGACGCTGCCATCCCAGACCGCACCGACTTTCTCCCAGTCTATGATTACTTCCTCTTACCAACTGGGGACGGTACGCCCGGGCAGTGGCATCTTGTCACCCCTTTCTTAGAGACTGGCACTCTGGAGCACCTGGCTCGGAGGGTACAGAATGAAAGCACATTGCAAACCGCTGATGACGTCGATATGCGCTACCGCCCATCGTTTAGCCGACTCTTGAAAGCGCTCAGCACAATGCACTCGCAGCAGCTTTGTCACGACGACATCAAGATGGACAACATTTTCGTCACAGACAGTGCTCAGCCCTCAGGCAACACGAGTTCCACCCCAAGTGAAAAGGAGGCGCATTGGCTCCTTGGCGATCTCGGAAACGCGCGACAACCCAACCACAGCTACCACTCCTCACTCCTCTGGGCGCACGACAATGGCCAAAATACCGACTGCCGTGTAAACGATGTTGTCCGGCTTCTCAAGTCGTATCTCTTATTCCTTCAGGCTGCGGTCACGGCTGGGGACTCTGGCAATGCTTTCAACGCGGCTTTCCTCGCCGCATCAGCGCGGTGGAGTCGACTCTACTGGTACACCATCAACTCTGCTCGTGGGCAACTGGACGGGGCAATAGCAGCTCGACAGATACTCGCAATGTCAACAGGGGCCTTTGCGCCCGGCGAGCCGTTCGAGAGATCAGAGCCCCCACATTCTTCCGCGCAAACTATAAGCATATATTCCAAAGATGACAATTGGGAAAGTTTAAGCCAACCTAGGCTTCAGCGTACCTCATGGAGTGTGTGGTTTTGGCCAGGCTCTGATGGGCCATTAGAGGAGGCGGCTCTGGCCAGCCAGCAGCTGCGAATGGGAATGAGGGCGAGTGAAAGATGGGCGAGGTTTTACGGAACATTGGGATTTCTACCGATTCCTAGCGAACAGTGCTAAGGGCGAACAGGTTGTCTTTAAGTTCGTTGTTGATGGCTTTTATAGAGCTTTGTGAATGATACCCACCTACCTGAATGATACCCACCTACCTGAATGATACCCACCTACTTGAATGATACCCACTTACCCCATACACCTCCTCAGGGGTCCCAAATGTTAAATTAATACCTGTTTTTGCCACAGTAGGTTAAATTGCAACCATATTAATTAATACATTATTTTATTAGCATTTTCCCATATAAATATAAGTACCTTGTGATATTTACCTATTAATTAACTTTCCTTTGCTATTAATATACTTTTAAAGATAATTAAGCATTAAATAAGCTAAGCATAATAAAAACTCCTTAAGAACTGCCTCTTAAGCAGCCTTAATGGCTTTATAAAGCTCTTTAAGGCCTAGGGACTAAATATTATAATTTTAATTAATTCAATCCTTTATTTAAAATTAAACGTTTTTTATAAAATTTAAGTTTAGCGAGTTTATTAGCTAATAAAGTAAAAAATGCCTATTTAATAAAGGATTAATTTAGTTAATTTAGCATAATATAAGAATATATTATCTTATTAAAAAATACCATGGCTTTTAAGGTTATTTATAAAGAAATACCTTATAATAAGGAGTATTTCTTAGCAGTAATTATATTAATTAATGCCTTTATAACCCTTTTCTTAAATATAAGGGTTTTTTTTATCTTTTAATAAAGTAACTTTAAAATATTTAGCTTATAAGGCGCTAATAAAGTAAAGCAAAGTTTTTAAGGTTTTTAAAATTATAAATAATAACTTATTTTTTTATATAAGGTTATTAATTATTTAAGTTTTATTAAAGAAAATTATATTTTTTTAATCTTTAAGCTTAAGTTATTAATATTATATATATTAACATTATTAAATGCAAGCTTATTTATTTCTTATTATATAATATATTTTTTAAAGTTATTTATAACGGCATTAGCTAAGTAAATAAAGGGTAATTATAATAACTTTAATATTAATATATAAGAGCTTTAAGGGTAAGAAGAAGCAAAGGTTTAATTATATTATATAGTAAAGTATAGGATTAAATAACAGTTATTATTTGTTATGGGCTAACCCTGGGTTATCTGCCGTAAGGTGCCCAAATGAGGTTTATATTTAAAGTGTAAAGGAAGAGATCCGCTCCTCGTTTGCACCTGCGCCGAAGCCTATTCTTGTAGGGCTAAAGCCCGCTAATTAATTATAATAAGCAAAGTGTTGGCTGGGTCACGTATTGCAATACGATGTTTAGTTGGTATAGTGGTTGATTGTTGTTGATTATGGAAGGAAGGAAGGTAAAAGGCCTAATTATGCTAGCTATTTTATATGCAGCGTTAAGGCTGCTGCCTATTAGGCATTTTAATGGGTTAAAGCTGCTTAATTCTAAATAATTCTTTATATAAATAATACTTATTATTTTTATATTAATAGTTTTTATTTTATAGGTACTTGCTATTTTTAAAAAGTATAAAAAAAAAGGTATTTAGTTAAATTAAACTTAAGGTTAAAAGGTAATTAATTAATTATATATATAAATTAAATTATAAGTATGCTATTATTTTACTATATTATATTATTATAAAAAGCAAGCATATAAGAAGGCCTAGGTTATTATTAAGGGGTTAAAGGTTAATTAATTTATTAAAATATGTAATTAATAGGTAAAAGTTAATTAAATATATATATATATTAAAACATTTTAATTATATAAAATTAAAAAGCTTAAAAAATTATAATTATTATATAAATATTTTATTTATAATGCATTTTATAAACTTATATTTTTATTATTTATAGCACTTAGGTTAAATAAGGATTGCATTAAATTCTTAAATTGCTAATATAATTATTTAATTTTTAAATAATTAAAATTTCTTAATTTAGCTTAGCTTAAGCTTTGCTATACTTAATATTGCTTATTAAATAAAGAAATTAAAAAGTATAATTAAAGGATGAATTATTAAAATAAAAATTAAATAAATAAAGTTAATAAGTTATAAGAATTAATAAATAAAGTATTTAAATAAAGAGAAAAGTAAGGTATAAAATAAAGATTATTAATTAAGTTAATAAATAATAATATTATTAATTTTAATATATAAATATTAAATTATAAAATTTAATTAAGGATGCTTATTAAATATAAGCTAGCAATTTAAGTATTTATAAAATAATAATAATCCTTATTACTTAAACCCTTAATATATAAGCATTATTATAAAAATCTTAAATATAAGGTTTGCTTTTAAGAGGAATATAATTTAAAGTTAGCTAATTATATTACATTATAAGGTAATTTATAAGTAATTAATAAATATAAATTAAACTTTTGCATTTTTATTATATATTACTTTTTATTAAAGAAATTATTTTATTATTTTTTATTAAAAATCTTTAGCAATCTTTTATTTTTATAATTATATAATATATATATTTAAGTTAATTATATTAATATTAATATAATAACCTTATGATATATAATATAATAATAATATTTAGGGTTATGTTAACGTAGTTTATTAATAAGATATTAAACTATGCTTTAATAATTTAAATTTAAGCCTTGATATATTATAGTTTTTTTATTTTTTTGCTATATTTAAATAATTGCCTTATTTTCTTAGCTTTAATTTATATAACTTTATATCTTAATTATAATATTATTTATATTTATAAAGTATTAAAAAGTGTTATTAAGAATATTCTTTATAAAGGCGTTAGTTAAATTATAGTTTTTAATAATTTAATGGATTTTAAAAATCTTATGCTTTTTATATAATTATTAAAGAGCTATAATATTAATTATAAGGCACTTTTCTTTTATTATATTAAGCTTATTTAAGCACTTATATAAGAAGTATGAATTAATATATATTATAAGAGGAATTATTATAATATTTAAATATATAGTAATTTAATGTAAAGTAACTGTTAGCATTATAATTATATTAAAGCTATTAATTATATTATAAATTTTTAAAGTTAAAACGTTTTAAGTTACTTTTTAATACTTTATTAAAGATTAATAAATAATATTATTTTTAATGTTTTATTTAAAAGCTTATAAGATTTATATTTTATTTATAAGTATAATAATAAAGCTAATTTATAAGCTAAGGTTTTTATTATTAATAAATAAGCTATTAATAAAAACCATTAATTTAGCTTAAAATAAATTTAAGGGTATATATTAAAGTTTATATTTTAAGTTATTAACTTATTATTATAGCTAGCAATTTAGCTTATTATAATTTTTATAGGAAGGCTTTTAAATTTAAGCTATTATTAATAAGTTAAATATTATTTTAAGTTAATAAATAAAAGTAAGGTATACTTTTTATATATATTGCTTTATATATTATTAAGTATAATTATTAACTTTGCTATTAATAAGTATAATCTTTTTACCTTAGCTTTTTTAATAAAGATATAAAGTATCTTTATTAAAGATGCTTATAATTATGTTATTAAAAATAAGTAACTTATTAAGGGTAAGTATTTTTTTTAATTTATATTAAATATTTATCTCCTTAATTTTTTATTCTTTTAGCTTTAAAAATATTAAAGTATTAAGGGATAATATATTATTAATTTATATAATAATAATAGTAAAAATATCTTTTTTTTAATTTATAATTAAAAAGCATAAATTATATATTAAAATAATTATATTTAAATTATTATAAGGAAACTTATAATAGGTTATTTATTAATATATATTAAATTTAGCAATGCTATATAATAATTTAATAACTTATATAATAATCTTAAAAGGGTATTTATTTTAAATCTTAAGAAGTAAGTAATATAAAATAAATTACTTAAGCTTAAACTTTAATTAAGGATATATTTAAGTAATATCTTAAAGCTTTAATTAAAAGCCTTATATTAAAAGGGATAGAGTTAAAGTAATTAAAAGTTTTTAGCTAGCTTTTTAAATAATTAAAAATTATATAAGGATATTATGCTTTATTTTTATTATTATATTTAATAATAATAAGTTATAATTTTTTATATAGCTTTTTAATCTTACCCTTAATTTTATAAATAATATATAACTTAAAAAGCTAAATACTTTTATATATTTTAAGATTAAAGCATTTAAAGTAAAAAATATTATTGCTAATTAATTCCGTAATCTTTTTATAATTAAATTCTTTAAATAAGTTATTAAGGGTATTAATTATGCTGTTATATTAAAGCTTTAAAAAGAAATTATAATTCTTAACCTTTTATTAAGTAAGATATGTTTTTTTTAATTTATTCTTTAATTCTTTAGGTTATTTATATTATTAAGGTTATAACGATTTTAATATTGCTAAGATTGGATTTAATTTAAATTAAATAGGCTTATTAATAATATTATTTAAATTAAAAACTAACTAAATATTATCTTTATTATTTTTATTTTAATAATATAATTAAATTAATATTAATTAAAAAATTATTAAGCTATTTAAAAAGTTTAATATAAAGTTATATTTATTAATGCTAAGCAATTTATATAATTTTTATTAATTATGCTTTTTTTATTATATTTATATATTACTTTATAATAAAAGACTTAATACTTTTATAATATTTAAGCTATTATAAGTATTTAAAGTTATGTTAATTTATTATTTAATATAAACTTTATATAGCTTTTTTATAGCTTTTTAAATAGCTATTGCTTTTTTAAGAGTTAAAAAAGTTAATATAAAGTTTTTTATAAGTTTTAAATATATATTAAAAATAAGGAATGTTAAAATAATGTCATTAAGGCTAATTATATTATTTATTGCTTTAATAATTATTTATAAGATAACTTCTTTAATATAAATCTTTAAGAATTTAGCATAAAGGATATTAAAAGCTTATTAAAATAAAGCATAATATTTTTTAATTTTATTAATAAATTAATATACCTTTATTAATACTT